GTCTCGGAATTCCGATCTTGTCCATTCCCCTTCGTATGTCGATCCTTCCTCGTGAGGGAGATGTTGGGTTCTTATGCAGTGACAGAATATGTGGTGCAAGGTCACCGCTACGACATCCTGGAAGATGTCGGGTGCCTGAGCGAGACGTACGAGACCCCGGTTGCGATTGTGCTTTACAACCTCCCCCCGCTCCTGATCGGTTGTGTGTCCGCGGTCTACTGCAGTGCGTTGCTTTCCTGTTTTCGCTTTCGCTCCGCCAGCGGCTGACGACGGCCTCACAGCTCTTGCGATCCGCGCCTTCCACCACTGCCGCCTCCAGTTCAAGGAGCTTTTGTCGTCCAGCAACAACCTGAACGCGAACCGATACCTCCGGCTCATGTGCCTCGCCGGCACGGACCTCGTCCTGACGATCCCCCTCACCGTCTTCGTGCTCGTCGCCAACAGCCGCGTGGGCATCCAGCCGTGGATCAGCTGGGCGGACACGCACTCCAACTTTTCACGTGTGCGGGAGGTCCCTGGAATCTTCTGGCGGTCGGACCCGTGGACTGTCGCGAGCATCGAGCTGCTTCGCTGGTCCACAGTCGGCGCCGGCTTCATCTTCTTCGCGTTCTTCGGCTTCGCAGACGAGGCGCGGAAGCACTACCGTCTTGCCCTCCAAAGTGTCGCGAAGCGCGTCGGAATCTCGACGTTGGGAACGGGTACGCTCTCGTCCAATGGGTGCGTTTCCACTCGCTTGTCCGGGGATCTGTCGTCTGACGAGTGGCACAGAACGAGCAAGGGCCAGAGCAGCTACAGTCGCGGCGCCCTGCCCGTCTTCGTCAAGAAGCAGGTCTCGCGCAAGCGCGACTCGCTCGACTCGTTCTCGGACACGATGGACCTCGATGGCTCGCTCGGCGCGCTCACCTACGACGGCTCGAAGGTCAGCGCCAAGTCGTTCGGCGATCTGTCGACCGAGAAGTCGTTCGGCGCGATCTCGTTCGGGGATGTCGGGGGCTTGCTCTCCGAAAAGAAAGGGGACGACTTCCTCGAGAGCCCCATTTCGTACTCCGGCTCGTCCTCCTCTGGAAGCGAGCACGGCGGTCTCTCCCGGCCGCTGACCCCCATTTCGGACGACGCGGACGACATCGAGGTGTCGTCCCTGCACCGGGCGTCGATGTACGTCTTGCCGGCCATGCCGTCGGTAGCGCGCACCCACGTGTCCCGGACGTCGGATGTCGTCGATCCTGCGAACGCGGTGTAGATTCAATGGACGTTCTACCCCGTTTCGCTCTTCTTCGTGAAGATACTGTAGCATTAGCCCCCGTACATATGAACACCCACTCACCCATCCATCGCTTCTACTTTATCCCTCATTATACCAACCCTGCCTTCCTTTGTATCACTAGTAGACACATGTTTCAATATGATCGCGATGCCTCCGAGATTTGCCCAGTGAGTTATGGCCTGGTGGACGGGTGACAAAGGCTTGAGTCAGATGACATCAGGCAGTATGATCATGTGACCTGATCCCAGTTCTCACTGCGTTAGGACTCCCGGTTGGGTTAGTTCGCATGATCATCGGGGACTGCCTGAAGCTGCTCGCTGTACTTGTCCGTTGTTGCTGTATCTGCCCCGTTTCAAGTACATCGGGGGCATCATTGCCTTTTCCCTCCTTCACTGCTCTTGTTGGCCTGCCCATTGCCGGTCAAGTTCGGGGATCAAGCCAAGAGTGGTCGAAACCAATCTTACTGGCGGCGGGCTCCATCAAGTTCTATGTTATTTAATATAAGACTTAGTCCATGCTGAATTTCGCCGAAATGAAATATGCAAGACTCAAACCAATTTGCTGGAACAATATATTACTTTTCATGTTGATCGTGCTTCTTGCGAGCGCTGCTATGGTGGCTGTGGCGTGGGCAGTACATAGAACCCATGGGGTAATTACAAGACCTGGTCACGGAGGTGGGCATTTATATTGGCTCATAGGCGCCAATTGAGCGGAGTTCTGGACAAAGGACGCCGAGATATTTTTGATGTGTACATATAGCTGTACGCACTGACTCGTTCTGTTGTTTTCCCGCTTGCGATGGAGAGTATTAAGGGCGTCCGCAGATTGTGTGCCGTTCTCTGTTGATCATTATAAACCAGATAGGGAACAGGATCCCAATTCACACGCATTTTTGATCGTATATGTTCGCACTTAGTCTCACAAGTGCTCGCAACCTTGCGTCCAAACTGTCTTTGGAAACCTCATTCACACGACAGAAAAACTTTGCATCCCGTAACGAAAGTAAGGATATCCTCTCTTTTTACTCTTTGATATGCCCTGCTGAGATTTGAGGAGCGGATATGGACCTGTATGCGTCTCTATTTTCCAAATGTACCGCCGTATTTGGCAATTTGTCTCGACGAGCCGTCGGCCGACTTCATCGGTTTGTCTCTTCAGAGAATGGATCGTGAACTGTATTAAGGCTATTCCTTGCAACCGTATTTGTGCCTTATTTGCGTGCTACTCAGCGGGGCGGGTGAACCTCATCTTTCCGGAGTAGAATGTTGTGGTCTATTTGGGCACGGTTGCCACCGCAGACCCTGAAACGGCCCGTGTCACAGCCTCTCCGATGAGCTCGAAAAATTCGAAATCCAAAGTGGTCCAATATTTTCCTTTGGTCAACACGAAGCCCGGCTGCCGCTCTTTTTTTAATAACTTCCGCTCTGGGGACCTCGTTTTGATTAGGTTCATTTAGTATTTGTCCACTTCGATGCATCGCATTCGATCCTGCTTTGCCGCTGCAAACGACAAGAGAACGGTTGGATTAAACGCCGTGACGTAGATTCCGGACGAAGCGCCGCCCACCGGGTGCAAAAGCAGGAAGCCGGCGTGACCGCATCCCGTGAGTCACTAAATTCCTCCGAGGCTGTCCGGGCTTCTGGCTCGGTTGGGGAACTCTGCAGCGGCGAGCCGTACGCGAGCGCGAGACTGCGGGCGTTCGATCGTACGTGGGGAGGCCCAGCATGGCGCCTGTGCCGGCGTTTCCAAATTTGCTATCGGAACACGCGGCGTAGGGTTTGGGGGATTGCCGATGCGGGCGGCCGGCGTTACCAATTTCAGTCTACTTCGGTATCGGATCGTCCGTGCGCGGCCGCATCGCCGTGGTGAAGCCTACTGTGCAGGCCGGATGAAACAGAGCACTCGCACGAAATAGGAGAGTTGCTATGTACATATTTCTGCAGACTTGATCCAATAGAATTACTCGCGTACAACAAGATACTCGGTATTTTGAATGAATGCGATCATTCGGTGAAGCACGGGAGAGCAGAGCAGTACATTGTTCATGGCTATCATACAGTCGTCGGGTATTAACACTAACATTAAACTCCAGTTCTCGGATATGGGCGGCAGGCGGTAAATGAAGCTTTCGCGTCGCGATGACATCAGCCACACGTGGCCGGGTTGAATGGACATTGCGGGCTGCGATAGAAGGTCCGATGAGGATCTCGCTCCCGTGACCGGCGCTCGCAGGGAACTCACGAGTGGCCTCCCCTCCATCCACAGTGCGAGCACTGCGGGTCGCGTGCCGTCGGCCCAGTCTGCGCATCAGAGCAGGCCTGGCCGGCGAGGGTAACGTCCGCGTGCGTCTGGATGGCGGAGCGATTAGCGGTGACTGGACAGCACATTGGGAGGTGCAGATAGTGGGATTGTGGGAGTGCTGATTTTCACCGGTCTTGGGAGCTCACTGGAGAAACCGGCTGGCCTTAAATACAGGTTTGCCGGTTGTGAGCTTTTTTGTCCTGCACGTGTGACCGTCCCATAAATGCGCGCCGGGACAAAGGGGCGTCCGACAGTGCTCCGACAGTCCATCCGCTCGGATGGAAAGTGCGTCATCCGCGGACCCATTGTTCGCCATAGCCTGGCCAGAGACAAAGAAAAGTTTGGCGTACCCGGTGGCTGTTCGGGTGCCTGAAATGCAATGGCTCTTCCATGTGCATTGTCAAAGCTTGAAAAAGAACACGTGCATAACACGTGGCTGATAGACGCCCTGCCTTCCATCTCGCGCGTCGAAATGAAACTCATGGTGTGTTATCTGCTGGACATCCTGAGAACGAGGTTGAGCTTCGACTGAACGCCGGAAGGGTCTGTCCAGTGTCTTTGTGCAGGATAACTCCCACGTGACCATCGCGTGAGATGCGGTCACTGTGACCCCTCGCGTTCTCTGTTTGATCGTCCACCCACGGTCGGAGGCAGATTCTGACATGGACATCTCGTCAGACGCAGATTCCCTCCGTCCCACCAAGCGTCGCCGCGGTCCAGGATACCAGTCCGAATGTCCGCTCAACCGCCCATCCATGGACAAGCACCTGTGGCTCCCCGACGGCGACATCGTTCTGCGCGTGGAGGGGTGCGGTATGAGAGTCCACCGGAGAATATTGCGGTGCTCATCCGTCTTTGGCGACATGTTCTCCCTGCCCCAGCCCAGCCACCTGGATGTGGAGCAAGTCGACGGATGCGCGAGCGTGACGTTGGCAGGCGACAAGGTGCACGATTGGGACGTAGCGCTGAAGTGGCTGTATGAAAAAGAGTGCGTGTGCCCGGCTCCACACACCTTCTGCGGCTCGCTCACGGATCCTCCCTCCAATAATCTCGTACTCAGCGCGTTCCTAGCCCAGATTGTGACGTTCGACACGATCGCTGGCGCGCTGCGACTTGGCACCAAGTACGATATGGAAGAGCTACGAGGATGGGCGATAGCCCAGCTTCTCTTACGTTGGCCCGAAGACGTGGCCGAAATGCGTCTCACGTCTCTGCCCCACGCAGCGGGTACGTGGCTCTGCCAAGCCAGCACGCTCTGCCTGCTCTACGCAGTCGTGTGCTCCCTTCGCCACTGCGCGCGCTGACGCCACCCCACGCAGAGGCCATCGCGCTCGCGCGGGAATGCTCCGTGGCACGCATCCTCCCGGCCGCGTTCTACGCGCTCTCCGTACAGAAGTTCTCCACCTTGGCAGACGGCGGCCGCTCGCACTGCGCGCTCTCGCCGCCCGATCTGCGGCGTCTGCTAGCGGGCCGGGAAGCTCTGCAGGATGTGCTTCTGCGCATCCTTATCGAGCCGTTGACGGAGCCCGGCTGCCCAGCTTCTGATAACTCCTCCTGCGGCCAATGCGCTGCCCGTCGATCGCAGTACATAAGAGCGAAGTTTGCTCCTGAGGCGTGCGCCAAGGCACCCTGGGGACCCTGGCTCGTTCGGGAACTGGAAGGGATGGTGAATGACGACGTGTTCCTCCGCAGTCTTTGTTCTGATTGTGTGCATGCGCACTTGACCACTGCGCGGTGGCGTTTAGGAAGGCTCAGATGCGACATGGTGGCTTTCTTTTTGCTCTGATGATTCTCTGGGTGCTGCCGTTTGCTGATTATGAACATATTCTATACTCACCACCATTGCTACTCTAGTTGAAGGATTTCCTGTTAGAGCGCACTTGCACATACTCATGAAATACTTATCGGCAGGAACCCTGTGTTGGAGATGGGGCTGCCTCTTTCCGTAACACCAATCCGAGTGAACTTGGCACCCCCAGGGTCGAAGAGACTCCACGGCCTCGGACATCGGAGGGCAAAGACACGTTTTTCACTCAATATCATGGAGGACTTCCATGCAAGACTGATGCCCGTGGACTGATATAACCGACCAGATAACGCGGACGCTCGTCCACCAGCACTGATCGGAGTTTGCATTCGGAGCACCAGCTGCGGTCCTGATGAGCTGCAACATGGGACGCCTCAGGCAAAGATCGCACCGTGCAAAGATTCCAATATGTAAGTGCGCCGAGTCGGACATGTCCACACACTTGCCCCGGTCGCCGAATGCCCGTGTCCGAACGACGCCCGTAATTTAGGCTTACACACTCTACGGCGCCACATATCGGCGCGCCAAAAAAAGTCTCCGGCTCGGTACATATGTAAGACACCACTGAGTCGTGGTTGAAAAATTTTACAAGCTTTAGAGTTTTACAGCATACAGTCGGTTGGATGGTTGGTTGGTTGAGGTCGGCAAGGCTCGATCGCAGATCTCCGGTACGGCCGCGATTAGCTCGGTGAAGGCGCTGGCAGGCTGCAGCGAGACGATGATGCACGGAGACAGGTTTGCAGCTGCCAGCGATCTGATGTGCACTGTGCAGCTGTGGCTGTGCTTGATTATGGGAGAGGGTCCAGATCGGCATCTGCCGGTGACGATCAACCGGACTTCACCAGTGTCACGCTCAGAGCTCGTGACCGCGCGTCGCTTCAGGTTGAGCCACAGCCGAACAGCACCTCGGTCGGTAAAAACACAAAGATTAGCGAGACCATAAAAATGCCCTCAGTCTATCCTGCTGACACGAGACGGGCGCTAAAGTCACTGACGTTTTTCTCAGATGATGAACCGCAGTTGCGGTCCTCGCACTGTGCATGGTCGTCAAGCGAGAAGGGTCTATTTGCGTGTGCATTCTGTAACCAAGTGCACTCCTGATTTGGCTTCATTGCCGAGATTTCAGGTTTATCTCACATCGATTCGACTCGAAAAACTAATCTGGTTGCTCGTCGAACTGGTTTTATGCGCCATGTACTACTGTTGCCACTTGCCAGCTCCTCGGAATCGATGAAGAAGCTGTGGTTCATCACTATCTCTTGATGTGGTACATGTGGTGCTCTTCTCCAATTGATAGTAGGACGTGGTCCTTGGATGCGATATGTTGACTCTTTGTCAGCATCGTGAAACTTCGTTCAAGTGCATTGGAGCTGGGCGACCGTTTTGACAAAGCTTCCATTCGCGTCTATTTCACGGTGTGCTCGGACTAAAACCAACTTGGCTCACGTTATTTGATCCGGGGACTTATCGAGGATCGGTCGGCGGGAGTAGATCTGTTTTTGAAGCAAACAGAGTGGGGGGCAACATGCAAACCATGACTCTCTCGCACATTTTGTGGAGCACTTTGGGCCATCTTACGCCGTCTGATCTGATTCATCTTTGATCTAGCAGCAGCTCCGCAGCACTGGTCAGAAATCCCTCAATCGGAGACCCGGAATGTTCGCCGACTCGCAACGCTTGACAACTCAAAGTCCCTGTTTGCATTACGCGACGATTACAACCTTCTTGCAGTAAAAATTTTAAACATCTCCCATCTTGACCCGATCCCTGAATGACTCCATCTCGTACCCATTGTCCCTGACCACTTCCACCAAGCGCGAGACGTTGACGCCCTCTCCTCGAGCTGAGGCATGCACCGGGCCCGTGCTGATTTCTGCTGACGAGGCGCGTTCGCCGACGAGTCGGAGGAGGATCATGTTGAACGTGATTCCGATGAGGGGAGACGTCTTCCGAGGTTGGCATCTATTAATGGCCGCTAGCGAGAGAGAAGCTGGAAAACGCACCAGATCTACGATGATGAATTGCACATTTGACCCGAGTTGGTAGGTGATCAAAAGTGCTATCAACGTCGAGGAGTAGAGAGCGGCAGATTCAAGGAAGATAATCTACATTATCACGCGATCAGCACATACAACCGACAGACACTGGACGCGACCGATGCACTCACCATCGCTGACATAACTCGGCTCTGCGCTACCCGAGTATTCCGCACAGCCATCTGAGACTGCAGAATCCGATAGGCAATCAGCACTGGCGGGTGCGAGCGATTCGCCGCATCAGTTCGATTTCATCGCCTCAAAAAAAAGAAACGAAGCGCGCACGTGTGCAGATGACGTTCGTAGCCAGCGACGTGGAGAAGAAGGTGGTGATCCAGGGTACGAGCTCTGCCAGGAAGATACCACCCTGCTTCGTAAGGGAGAGCGCGTGCGTTCCGCCGTACCCCGAGATGCCCGAACACAGCCAAAGGAGGACGGGGAAAATGACAACGAGGTACGCTTTTCGCCAGACGACCCAGCATCGATATATCTGTGTGACCGCAAGCCGTTAGGGACCCCTGGATAACGCCTGTTCAAGTTGGAGACATACCATGAAGCAATCCCCAATCAACGTAACCGTGACATAGATGCCTATCTTGGCCGCCTCCAGAGAGTCCGAGATGTCTGCAAGGTACGCTATTCGGTCTGGCTCGTGAAGGAATGCCTGCTCTATGCGGACGATGTCGACTACCCAATGCTGTGGCTGGTCAACGACGGGCGAGGATCGATGGACTGGAGAGACCCACGCCGGCGGAGAGGATCCATATTAGCGACATCACCGGCAGCGCCAGGCCAAATGAGTTCCATCGGAAGGAAGCTTGGAAGAGCACGATCCGGAGCACCGCTGCGAACATGGCCGTCGAGATCCCGAATATCAGAGACTCTATGATGATGGAAACAAGCTGGATTTGAGCAATGAGCTGGGCTTTATAAGGTCATTCCACTCGAGAGACGCACCCCGACTTGATCTAGTGGCACATTTCCCATCTCGTAGACAAGGCGGGACGCAGACGCGAGGGCTACGACCGAATGGTGATCCAAAAGTTCAAGTAATTAGGTCCCCGAGGGAATGTAGAATTCGAGCTGATCAGTGAGGAATCAGGACGCTTGCTGGCACCGTTTCTAAAAAGACACGCACCCTAAACGACAAAAGCAAAGACCGAATTTGAAGGAGGAAGAAAAGGAAAACGGTTATGCAACGAGGTCACACACAAACATACCCATTGGGCATGATTCTCACATCCTTCGCGGACCCACGTGAGAGCTGCGGAACGGAAGCTCCCAGTCGACATCAACGACCTCGGTGACCATGTACGGCCAGTTACCATCTCAGAACGGTCGCCAGGCGTCGGACTCGGTATCACATGCCAGTCCCGTTTTCAGTCGACGAGCCCACGCCAGACCTTTCGAAGCCGTGTGGACGACAGGTGTGTCACCGAAGCAGATTCGCAGAAGCAAGCGGAGGCCGGGCGTGCGACGGTCAACGACCGTAAACCTCTATTTTAAGCGCGCGCAGACCATTTTTGGATCTGCACTTCAGACCTGCGCTCGAGGCCTGTACATCTACCAACGACCACCCACAAATGCATCCGGTACGAGCTGCAGACTTGGAACGTCCCACGGCCGGGGGCGACGGCGAATTTCGTCACATGCGATTGCGACGTAGCGAATAATCGATACAGGGATTTACGCTACCGGGGCGTGGAATGACTTGTGGACGGCGGCCAAGGAAGGGTCCGGCGCTTGGCTGTGCATCTTGACGGTGACCGCCGGCCGGTGCGCTTGTGGATGGCTACACATAGCGACTTGATTCTTGAAGCAGGGCGTCACCAGGTCAGCGCTTACGAGACGTTCGAGACCTTCAGTGCTTACATCGAATTTCTGCAGCACATGTGCCATCGAAACACCATCATACATGCGGATGCTTACTCTGTACACTTCTGCATTCGAAGGTTGTAGGTCCTAGATTGCCTGTCGAATATGTCCACAAGTATGACTCCGGAAGGAGGGTAAGTTCACCCCGTCATGAGCGCCTGGCGACCTTTTCCGTTCGAATTCTTGATTATCGCGGAACGATATCGCGGTCTTACAGGCCACGCATAAGTCATCCGGCACGATCACGCGCCTGATCTGGACCTTAGTCCGGCAACCATCAACTGACCGCATTACGGTCTCCTGCAGTTAAATCTAAACGAAACTCGAAGTCATCCATACCTCCCAGCTTGTGGTAATAAATAATGACGATAGATCCAAGCACAATCTACACACCTGTACAGAATCTGCTACACCAGAGCTACGCATTCGCGTCGATCTTTACGGGATCAAAAGAGTCCATCTCATGCACATTGTCCGTCGTCACCTCGACTAATCTCGATACATTCACGCCCTCTATCCGCGGCGCCGCCGCGCGCACAGGGCGGCTGCCGCTGATCTCCGAGCCCCGCGCAGCGCCCGTAACAGGGAGAATGATCATGCTGAATGTGATCCCAAGCAAACTGCATGTCTGCGCGGCTTACTTAGTCCTTTACTCATCGCGCATGACAGGGCGGGAGACTTACCGCATCAAGCACGACATATTGCACATTGAGCTCGAGCTGATGGGTGACGAGCAGGGCTATCAGTTCCGCGGAATACAGCGCAGCGGACTCGAGGAATACGACCTGTTATGGCTGAGTAAGGTGGATTTACAAACGCGGCAGCGTGACGCACCACGATCGACATCATCCGACTGTTCCCAGCATTCATCTTGCGAACGGCAAACTGAGACCGGAGGATGCGGTAGGCAATGAGTACTACGGGCAGATAGTTCAATCTCCGTAAGAGCCTTGAGAAACACCTGACGCACTGGTGCAATACCCATTGGTGGCCAACGAGAGGGCGATGAAAGTTGGAATCCAAGGCACCAGGGGCGACAGTTGTGTCCCTTGTTTTGTCTCGTACAGCGCATTTGTCCCGCCGTATCCAGATACGATCGAAGCAATCCACAGAACAATGGGAAGAGCTACGAAGCGGAGTGACCTTTGCCAGATCATGTAAGTGCGGTAAATCTGGTGTAGGAGATTATGTGACCCCGGCGGATTGAGCTGAATGCAAGCGACGGACCATGAACCCGTCACCAATGATCGTGGCGGTGACATACAGTCCAACCTTCGCGACTTCGACTGGAGAGGAGATGTTTGCGAAAAACACAGCAGCATTCGGTTGATGCAGGAATGCCGTCTCGGCGCGTAGGATGTCTAATATCCAGTGCTGAGGGTCAAATGAATCAGCACACCGATGACACACGGAAGGGCGCTAAGACACACTGATATCGCAAGCAACCATATAAGCGATATAGTTGGCAAGACAATTCTCACTGTTTTTTGGTTGGAAATGGCTTTGGAGACGATGAGCCGCAGAACGGTCGCGAACATCGTGGTGAATATGCCCAGCAGAAACGTCTCGATTATTAGGGAGACGAGCTGAATGCGGTTTCTCGTCACCACCGCCGCCACTGACCTGATGATCGAAGAACTCACCCCTATTTCATCTAAAGGCACATCTCCCATGAAGATGTAGAAAGAGCGGAACGTGATTCTTCACTGGGAACTATGGCTGCGTTGAGATGGGTCTTAAGTACCCGTGTCTAGAGGAGCATAGATCTCGTTGCCGCCCGCCAATCAAGAATTTGCCTGTCGTTCTAGCCCTATGGTTTTCTCAACCCGCTTTAGGCGAAGGGGAAAGCGAGCGTTCAGGAACTTGGGAAGCTGCCGCCGGGGATGGAAGTCCCACGCATTGCCGTTAGGTTCTTCACGGATACTACCCGATCAGACGAAGACGAAGCGCCAAACGCAGGGTGAATGACTGGGTGCGTTCGACCGAGAGAACCTGGGACTTGGATTCGCCCTTGGCATTTGGATCCTCATGTACAGCGCCCTTCCACAGCACCAGGTTCATCGTCCGGATATAGGGTATTTCACAGCACGGAATTGATGCAGGACTCGAGTGTAAACCGACAGAGCCCGAGTTAGTGACAGCATGTTGTGATGCACGTGGACAGCGGTTCGAGACAGCGCGTAGAGGGTGCACACAGCTCGATTGCTCAGAAGTCCGAAGCTGGCAGCAGCCATGATCCCAGGCAAGGCGACTGTAACCTGTCGATGGGACGCAATGTGCAATGGAGACTACACGATGATCGAACTTCGGATGCGGATTGTCGATCTGAGAATTGATTCGAGCTGCATGGAGGTCCAACACTGACGCTTCGACATCACCTCGGAATAAGCTTTTGTCCCACTCCATCGGACGAGGGTGCTTCTACCACAGTTCCTCTGCTGTGAGATGCTTTCAAGCAGTCATTTTGCGCTGCATCGCATCAATCATTGGTCAAACAGGCCGGACAAACAAGAGAGTAGTTGCCTCGGTGGCTTGGATCGGGTCTGACTCTCACAGTCAGGGCTGGATGAAACTCAGTCGCTGCCGTCGTCGTCCTTTGGTCGTCACGGTCTGACTATTGAGCGCGATGAGCACGTGGCGGAGGGTCCAGATTGAGTCTCAACCCGACTCAAAGGCCCATCGGCCCCCGAGTCCCCCGGAGCTGCTCACTTAGGTGGAAGTTGTAACTGAGGCGAGATGACTTCGAGAACGGGGCGGGCTTCACTTCACGCGCAAGAAATAAATCGTGTGGCAGCATTGGCGGGTTCGCGCCCGCATGGTAAGCAGGGGACAGGCAGCTTGCAGCGCTCCCCACACCCATGTGGAGGAAGCTCGCTACACTAGTCCGAGCCTGTGGGGTTTGTGCCATACGCTTAGTGGGAGTGAGACATGGAAGGACCAGTCGGTGCTAGTGCGGGCCGGCTCACCGCTCACGTGATGAGAAACATCATCCCGTGCCAAATCAGGGAAATGTCACATGTGCGATCAAGTCATGTGCCGATTATCTCTGCACGTCCTGGTTGTGTGATCCTCACTTACAGGCTCGTGGATTGCGGCTCCACAGCAATATTTTCTGGACCAATCGTCAAAGGTGAAGTTTTTCTGACCGAAATTAGTCAAAACGTTTCTATGGGTGCTTCACCTGGCTCTGCTGCGCTTAGTTCTGAAGACTTTGTTTTAGACCACTGTGATTTGTGGATCAATCTCTGCCGTTGTGTGGAGAAGGAAAGGAGTCCTCGGCTCACTCGGCCTGACACAGGACTCACAATTAAAGAGAGAAGAGAAGCTTCACTCTGCTCGTCCCCATCTAAATCAGGGGGATCAGGCCGGTTTATCGGAAACACAAAGGTGCATGTCAGCAATCAATGCACTTTCCGAAGCTCTGTTGAGTTTCTGTGTACTTATCGGCCATGGAGCGCTGAGCGCTGGGGCTTGCTGAGACCGTGATACAGTGACATAAGCGCAATCAGCTTGCCGGTCCGGCTGACTCCGACATCTCTGCTTCTACTCTGATGACGATTGTATTCTCGAATGCCTCCGACTTGCGTCCTGGACTCCACTCGGGCTCAAACGACCTGATTCATCCTCTTCCAGCTCAAGAATGACGGCCAGGGTCCTGCATATATGCTGTCGGATTCCACCACATCCCGATCTCGCACCGCGAAAACCTCATCTACTCGGTGGTCCTCATCGCACCTGCAGTTATCAACCTTTCGAGATTTCCAAACCTTATCTCACGGGATTTGATTGTCCACATATGATCTACGACACATGGCCTCCGCGTTCCGAGCCCCACCGTCATAAGTCTTCAGTCTAGGTCGCAGATCCTCGCCGCGTCGCGAGTTGGCGGAGCTCCGTCCCCCACACCCATATAAGCAAGCCTGAACACGCAGCTGACGCCAAGCAAGATGCTCTCCAAGGCCTTCGTTCTCGCGTCCCTCCTCGTCTCCGCGCGCAGCGCTACGGTCTCGTCCACCCCTGCGCAGACTTTCCTCGGCGTCGGCGGGTCAGGCGCCTGGTGGCCGCACGACCTGTACCAGTTCCCGCCCGCGGCGCGCACGAACCTCTCGAACCTGCTCTTCTCGCCGTCCGGCCTCGGCCTCAGCTCGTACCGCTACAACGTCGGCGGCGGCGGCGTCGGCGTTGGGAACCCGGGCCGAGCGCCCGAGACGACGTATGTGAGCCCGGGCGTGTACAACTTCAGCGCCGACCCGCAGGGCGTGCTGTTCATGCAGGACGCTGCGAGCTTTGGGGTGCCGATTACGTTCTTTGTGAACAGTGCACCCTCGCCGTTTACCACGAACGGGGCCAGCTGCGGTGGATGGTTCGTCAACGGTACGTCGACGTTGTCTTCAGTGAAGAAATGCCTTCGCTCAATGCAACATCTATCTCAGGCACTGGAATCGAATATGGCAAATACCTGGCGGACGTTATCGCGTACTGGCACGGGCAGGGCGTTCTGGTCAAGTACATCTCGCCCATGAACGAGCCGGACAACTCCTTCGGCGACCCGGGCTCTTGCGGTCAAGAAGGGATGGAAGTCGACGCCAACCAGTGGGTGGTGCTCAGCTGCTCAGGTCTGATCGCCTCTGACCTCGTCGGGTGACCAGGCGCGCGGAAGTCGTAAATGGGCTGTGGGCCGGCTTGCAGTCGGTCGGGCTGGAGAAGACCGTCGGTATCCTCGCTGATGAGTCGTCCTCGCTGTCGCGTGCCATGAACGAATATCCGATCTGGCTCCCCGAGGTCGTCGACAAGGCGAGTCCGCCGAGCGAACCACCGCGGCAGAGCTTCTTCTGATGGAAGTGCATTCACACTAGATCGCAGCGCTTGTCCATCACACGTACGACTTCCCTTCTGATGCGTCGTACTCGAAGCTCGTGGCCGACGTCGCCGCGCTCGCGCCGGGCAAGAAATCCTGGATGTCGGTGCGTGATCGGATGGCGCTCGCGTCCTGTCCTGCCCTGCTGATCTCGCGGACGTCACTGACCCTGGTCACACAGGAAGTCTGCTGCTCGCTTGGACTCAGCAACGGAACCGGGAAAGGGTGGAGCGGGGGATACGATCCTACTATCCAGAATGCATTGATGTTCTCTGGGATGGTGTTCCAGAGCTTTGTGTTTGCTGGCGAGCCGCACTACGACGTAAGTTGTGCTGGCCGTTGCATCTGCTTATCTTTCTCACCGACTCCTGCAGTTCTGGACATTAGTTTCTGGCGGTCTGCTCTCTCTTGTGTGATTTCGCACAGTCACTCACTACGTGATGACAGGAATGGGGTGCCAGCCTCTGAATAACGCCACTTGTGTCAACACTCCTAACCCGGATGGATGGACCGTCAGTCAATTCTCGGTGCCCTTCGCCAGCGCACTGATACCAAACACCTCTAGGACGGGATCATCTACTACGACGCCGATTTCGCCAGCAACGGCAACTACGACCTTTGTGTGTGGTCCTACTGTGGTGTATGATCCCTGCTGTGTGATCTGATGGACGTCTCTTCAGATCTGTCCAAGCACTACTGGACTTATAAGCACTTTGGCAACTTCGTCAAGCGTACGTGCCAACTTTGTCGTCGCTGCAACCCTATCTCATCTTGTGCCCAGCCGGAACGGTCCGCCACCCGCTCGTCGGCCCGGACGTCCAGGAGTATATGATGGCCGTCGCATCGGAGACGACCTACTCGCTGCTGCTCATGAACCCGAACAGCACCGACTCGACGCTGGACGTGACCTTCCACGGGCACGTCTGCCCGCTGTCCGCCGTGCGCACGAGTGCCACGGAGGACTTTGCGGCGATTGCTCCCGGTGCCAAATCGAGCCCAAGTGTTTACACGCTGCCTCTCAAGGCTGAGAGTCTGACGACCTATGTTTTCAAGCGGGGCCACTGCTGAACGGGATGTGCCGGATACAAGCAAGCATATATGTAACTCGACGATAAGTAAAGCGGGGTTGTACAGACAGTCTGTGTGTGTCAATAAATACATGCATAGGTAACATTCTAGGGATAACGACGAGCTGGACAATTAAACCGGGGCCAGCTTGTTACGGGCCCACAATCGACGAAGGACCGGCCACCAAGCCGTCCTTCGAGACTTGGCGGGCGGAGGCTGCGCCAAGATGAGTGTGTCGTTGAGCATCTGCTTCAGCAAGGGGGCGATGATCTTGCCAGACGCCAGCCTCGGGATCTTTTCCACGATATAAACGTCGTGCAGCCACTTGTAGCTCGACTGCAGTGGTAGCGCGGTCAGACTAGATGGCATCGCAGACGGGGACGAATACATGACGCACCTTGGCCTGCTTGACCGAGTTCTTGATCGTCTCCTTCACCACACGCGGGTCCTCGGCGGCGCCCGAGGCGGAGAGAACGATGAACGCGACGGGCACTTCGCCGGCACGCGCGTCGGGTTTGCCGATCACGCCCGCGTCCAGCACGACGTCCATGCCCAGCAGATGCGCCTCCAGCTCCGCAGGAGAGACCTGAAAGCCCTGACCTAGCGCATCAGCCGCGCTATTGCAAGGACGCGGATCGAGACAGACCTTGTTTTTGATGATATACTTCTTGCGGTCGACGACGAAGATGTACCCGTCTGGGTCCCGATACGCGATGTCGCCGGTGAGCAGGAAGCCCTCCGCATCGAAGCTCTCGCTGGTCGCAGCCGGGTTGTTCAGGTAGCCTGGGCAAAGCTGCGGCCCGCGCACACAGAGGAGCCCCCGTTCTCCGGCCGACATCTCGTTCCCGCGTGCGTCAGTGATCTTGGTCTCCGTCGCATCGAGCACCCGACCCACAGATCCCGGCAGCGGATCTGCTCCGAGCGGCAGCGCCGTGATCAGCCCTCCGCATTCCGTCATCCCGAATCCCTGCGTGACGACGAACCCGGGTCCACCCACGCGCTGGAACGCGCTCTCCATCTCCGCATCGAGCGGGGCCGCAGCGATCATGGCGGACTTGAAGAAGCGGAGGTCGACGTTGGCTGTTGCGGGGTGCTTGACAAAAGCGCTGACCAGGGGCGGGACGAGAAACAGGTGCGCGATGCGCAGGCGCACGACGGTCTCGAGGAAGACGGGGAAAGATGGCATGCTCTTGAAGGCGACAGTGGCGACGCCGATGTAGGGACAGAGGTGTACCAGAGTCACCAGGCCGAACATGTGAGAGAACGGAATGACACCCAGTGAGCGGTCGCCCGGACTGGAACATGCTGTCGGGACAGCCGAGTTCTTCACCTGGCTGACATTCGCAATTATGGAGCTGTGCGGGACGATAACAGCCTGAGATTAAATTACATCCGGGACGAAAGCTCCAGTCGAGTGTGGCGCACCTTGGGTAACCCCGTCGTTCCGCTGCTGAAGCAGAGAAACGCGACGGGACTCGACACGACATCGAAAGGGCGCGAAAGCAAGCCCAAGCCACACTGGACTAATCCGTCGAGTGTATGAATGCCAGCCTCTTGATACTGGTCCGGAAGCGACCAATCAGACTGATCGGAGAACGCCACAATATGACCAGGAGTGATCCCACACTTAGCGGCCGCTTCCAAGACTCTGTCAAGCGCATCCGAGTGCACAAACACGGTCCTGGCATCCGACAGGGTGAACTGGTGACTGAAAAACCCTGGGTCAACACGGCATCGGCCCTGGCACGAGGGAAGAGAGCAGCACGCACACAAGCTCGTCCACGGTGCTCCCGCCGGTGCACGAGGCAACCGTGCATCCCAGGCGGTGTGCGGCCCACACGACGGTCCCGAAGTCGACGGCGTTGGGCGACACGATCGCTGCGACGTCGCGGATGCCGCACGCCTCGTGCGCGTGGACGGCGCTCGTGTGTGTGCCCAGCCCCAGCACGGCGTGCAGCCCCCGCGCGAGCGCGTCCGTCCGCGCCTTGATGTCCGCGCCGGTTATTGCCCTGCCGGACTGGGCATCGACAAACCACGGTGAGGCGAGATGCGCATCCTCCCGCTCGAGCATGAACTCGTATAGTGTCATTGTCGACAGCGACATCGCTAGCGGTGGGGGGGACAGTGCCGATGCGGAGAGGGGTGAGATGAGTACTTTTGAAATGCGGGTGGTATTGAATCCATCAATCAACGGGAGGCGCGGGACGGTCCATGCATAGATCCTTGCTGGAACCGGTGCACGTAAACGTGGCTGCTGAGACGCGCAACGAACTGAGATGATAGACAAGAAACAATGTCAGTGACTACAGATCCCTTGGAAGCTTCCTTTGATGACTCCCAACTGTTCTCCTGCTGCGGAGATAGTCGGGGGGAAAGTGGCATAATCCGTCTTCGAGTCATCCAGCACAAGTGGTTGTGCTCGAACAGGCAAGTCGCCGCTGGGGCCTGCGGTCCAAGCTCAGAGGCTGGCGCCAAGTGTGACCAGGAGGAAGAAGTGCATCGTGACCCGGCTATCAGTCACAGCACGTCAAACCACTCTCGAGTCGCCGCCATCCATCCATGGCCGCTGCCGCTGACAAGGACGTCAAGCCCGATATCTCCAAGCTGCACATCACGGTCTCCTTCAACCAGAAAAGTGGGCACTTGCCTCAGCCGATGTCTCTGTAACCGCCCCCAAGCGTCCGGACAGAGTTGATCTTCCTGTACAAGAAAACCAAGCCGCTGGAGAAACTGCTGATCATGTTTTGCGTGCGTGCTCGGATCGACTGGCTGACAATGTGTTCTGATGCGGCCCGTGTGCTCACGCCATCGTTCCACGCCTCCACAGGAAAAGATGAATCTCGAGCGCAGTCAGTCTCCCGGAAAGCCCGTCCGACGATCAAGGATCCTGATCCCTCGCGTGATTCATTTGCAGAATCGATCCGGTTCGAATACGACGGCTCGAATGTCCGCGGAGGCGACGTCACTGCAGAAGAGGCGAGATTCTGCGTATGTTTTTTCCGGAGATTGGGGCTGAGTCGGGGTCCGCTTGATCATCTAGCTCGACATGGAGGATGGCGACGAGGTCATCGGGCATATCTTCCAGGTGTGTCAGTGCCAGCCTGTGGTGTTGCTAGTGTCTTGACCGGTTATACCATAGGAGGGCGGTTTTTGATTAATCTCCCTGGGCCTCGCCCCCACGCGAACCTTGACATCCTCGCGCACGCAAGCCATCTAGCTCAATGTATCACAGTACAAATTTGTTGTCTTATCCTCCATTTCACGGTACGGTTGTACGCTGCTCGCTTCAAACTCCCCACGGACGTCGCACGGGATACGAAAACGGAAGCACGCTATTGTACAACGCGTTCGACGCAGAGCCACGCGCCTTTCTCTCCCCGGTCGTTGCACGGCAGCAAAGTATTCGTGAATTGGCTGCGAACCTGGAGCGCGGGATCGCTGGGGATCGAAAAGACGAATTTCGAGATTAGTTCCGCGAGGATCACCTGCATCTCGAGTACGCTGTCATGGAAAGTTGCGTGCCATGAGCAATGTGCAAGACGGGAAGCTCGTCGGACTCACGCAAAGCGCCAGCTGCGAGAGAGTGGGGTGATCGTCAGACTGCCCCTGCACAATTCGGAGAGAGTCTCACCCAAGACAGACGTGCGGCCCATTCGAGAAGGACAGTCTGAGAGCACATCAATGTCGACTCGGGGGGACGGGAGAGCAAGAGTACAGATTAGAATAAGGGCTTGATGCCATCGTTTCTCCTGCCGGGCCAACCTGATCATTCATCCACCGGTACGGATCGAACTCCTCGGGTTTGGGTCCCCAGCGATCTATCGATCAGTGCTCCTGCAAAAATTGTCTCGATTCGGAGTATGATGGTGCGCGTGTCACGTCGTGACATACCGGTGGTAAGCACCAAACTCGCAGCCGATGTACTGCCCTTTGCGAACAAAGAGCTCTGTGACGACTCTCCCATCCTTCAGTGTGGTTGGTTTGCCGAGTGGTATTGTCAGGTCCACAAGCGCCATCTTTTCGGATACGGGCTCGGCAGGGTACAGGCGGAGAGTTTCCTAGTGTGATCGAATGGATGGCGAGAGTCAGATCTGAACAAAAACAAATGTGAGTGCATTGTGGGGACCGACCTTGATCACCGCGTTCAATAGCGGCAGCGAGTCGAAGCCATCTTCGATCTCAGCGCCCGCGTTGAGGAGCTCAGCTCGGAGACTGGCCTGCACGGCAGGATTCCGCGCAAGTTCGATCAGTGCAAATGCCATCGTGTTCGTCTATCCAACTCAGCGCCTGTTATACTTGGCTTCTTGAAATGGGCACCAACTCACAGTCGTATCCTGGCCGGCTATAAGTAAGATACTGGTCTGATCAACGAGAAGATCCGTCGGAAGCGATTTGCTTGAGTTGCCGGCCACTAGTACCCTATGAATCATCCAACTTGGCGCCTCGACGACACTACGCTCACAGATTTTAGCAAACAAGTGATTCCCTTCGACGGTATTATCGCTTGCGGTCGACTCAGTGACGATTTGTTCTCCCAGTTCCGAGCAAAGGGCCTTGGTTCGTCGGGTCACGGCGAACATGCGCAGAGGAGCCTTGCTGAACAGCCAGTTCAGGAAGGACGCCGGCAGATGCGATGCGAGTTCCTCAATCAGGAACTGTGGATATCCAAATCTTGAGGCGAGCGATCTTGCAAGAATTCGATCAGCGATAGGATTTGCATATAAGAAAGATGAAAACAAGCTTCTCACAATACACCGAAAAGAGCTTCATTCAACCCAGGATCGAGTTCCTCCATCGAACGGCCCACGGCGACTGGAAATAGACGTGATGTATCTCATGTGCGAAGTGGAATCCACTAGTGCGCACCTTGTCCAATCGCAGACAGTGTTCCCACAGAGAGGTCCGGAATTAAGTCGACGACTGCGCCCGGTTTGCGTTCTAAGAGCGACTCGGTGATCTGTTGGAAGGGTAAGACACTACTTGATCAGAAACAGCGCGCAAACCTGAGAGGCCACGGCCTTGAAGGTATCTAAATATTCTTTGATCACAGCTGGAGTGAATCCAACGCTGAGACCGGCCCGGAGTCTCCGGTGCGGATCGTCTGAAATATTTACATCGGTTTGTCACAGTTGCCCACGACGTGAGGTGTGAAGATCACTGATTCACCTTTCAATGACATTGGATTCCGCCGGCCGTAGAGCGCCGTGACAAGGGCGAGGAACATCGGTGCATAATAAGCGTCGTCGTTCTTGAGTAGGTGATTGAGCGCCACGGGGTCCGATACCATCAGACGCGTTTGCTGACAGCGCACGGTGAGCCGTTCCCAAGCCGAGATCCGCGGGAAAGTAGCATCCCACACTCACACCGAGCACGCCCTGCAGCCGATACACTCCGCCGTATTCATTTGCCCAGCGATATTCATGGTCCCCATAGTTGTGCGGAAGAAACATCTCAGGGAGGCTGCCTGTCAATATCGATTGGCGCCATATCGAGGGGCTATGAGAAGCACTTACCGAACAACCAGGAAGCGGGCGAAGGCCCGCGGAGCAGATTCACGTCGTGCGAACGACTGTCGAGTGCCCGCTTGATGAGATAGGTAGCAGTGACCACAAGGAAGGCAGTTGCGCATGATCCTAGAACGGAGAAAGGCATCGTGGTCAGAGTGTGGGTCGGGGTCGGATTGCGAAAGAACCCCTTGCAGAGGTTATATAGCTTGATCGATAGCTCATAAATAGCCTGGCCCACAGCCAATGACAGAGTGCTTATCGAACGTTCTCAAGGTTCAGTATGCACTGTCAGATGATTCAGACGAGGCTTCGGCGTGAACTTGAACGGCTGACATGGGTATGGGAAAAGCTCTCATAGTCCAGCTGCCCATTCATAGAAAACATCTTTCTCCCACTCCTTTCCCTACAAGGTGAATTGCTTCGCCGCAGTTTTCAGTGTCTTCTGTTCATATTCTTTCAATCCGTACGGAATCTCAAGTATAACATCGCAAATTGATGTCACGTATTAATTCTCGGGTGCGAAATTCATCACACCAGAAATAGTTTCGAAGTAGGAGGGAACAAATGATTCATCTACGTCCAACATTGACCAACTACTGTTTGACCCGTTCCACATGGAGCCATGCACCTCTCTCTCCTTTGTCATTGCAGCTGACCATCGTGTTGGTGAAAAGGCTGCGAACCTGCAGCGCTGGATCCTTGGGAATCTCGAAGACGAATTTCGAGATCAGCTCAGCCAGAATGACTTGCATCTCAAGGACACTGAGGAGGGAAAATTTCGAGGTGAGATTCGAGAATCGAGGTACCCGAAGTTGACGACTCACGCGAAGCGCCAACTGCAGAGCGGGAGATCTAGAGTCAAAACGGTGAAGAAAAAGTATGTGAGTAAAGCTCTTACCCAAGACACACATGCGGCCCGTTAGCAAAAGACAACCTGATTGAAAGCAAACATACGTCAGCCAGAGTTTATTCGATCAGGGACAGAGTTCAGAGCTTACAGACTGGAATAGGGGCTAGACGCCATCGTCTCTCCCTCTGGGCCGACTTGATCTTCTATCCACCGGTACGGATTGAATTCTTCAGGCTTTGGTCCCCAACGGAACGTAGTTCTGAAAGAACCATTCAAATTATGGTCTAGTGTGATACATATCGACATACCGCTGGTACGCCCCAAACTCACACCCGATGTACTGTCCTTTGCGAACAAAGAGCTCGTTGACGACGCGTCCATCCTTCAAAGTCACTGGTTTGCTGAGTGGCACGGTCAAGTCAACAAGCGCCACTTTCTCCGATATAGGCTCAGCCGGATAGAATCGGAGGGTTTCCTGTAGACAGTCAAAGCTTGCCATGAGCTGAGCCAACTGCTGCGGACGGCACAACGGACCTTGATGACGGCATTCAACAGGGGCAGCGAATCGAACCCGTTTGCGGTGTCTGCGCCAGCGTCGAGAAGCTCGGCCCGGAGACTAGCTTGCAGGGCGGGGTGTCGAGCAAGCTCGATAAGCGCAAATGCCATTGTATTCGACTTTCCTCACAATCAGCGCCGGGCAGATGATTTCATAAACGCTAAAAGACGCACTGTCGTGTCTTGACCCCCTATCATCAAGATACTAGTTTGATCGACGAGAAGGTCCGTGGACAGAGATTTGCTCGAGTTGCCGGCGACTGGGGATGAATGAATCCGTGTCTCATTGATCAAAAGACACCGCACTCACGGATTTTGGCAAACAAATGTGTGCCTTGGACATCACCCTCGTCTGTAGTCATCTCTGAGACAACTTGGTTGCCCAGCTCCGTGCACAGAGACTTTGTTTTCCGAGTCAACGCAAACATCCGCAGCGGAGCATTGCCAAACATCCAGTTGAGGAAGGACGCCGGTAAATGAGATGTCAGCCCCTCGATAAGGAACTGCGGGTATCCGAATCTTGACGCGAGCGACCTTGGAATGTATCAGCCCCGGTAGAACTAATGAGCACTAGGAAGGGATTCCCACAGAACATCAAACAGCGATTTATTCAGCCGAGGATCCAGTTGGTCGATCGAGCGGCCGACAGCGACTGTAGATTCGGATTATTGGAGCAAGATATTGATAGATGTACTTGGAAGCACCAACTTTCGGCAATAGCAGTGAGCGTCGCAGTGGCAATCAGTGGAGTTAAATCCACAACAGCGCCTTGTTTTTCGCTCGCGAGTGATTGAGCAATCTGTCAACAGAAGTCAATGATGTGATTATCAGAAATGGTGGAACCAACTTGGGAGGCAACAGATTTGAAAGTTTCCAGGTACTCTTTGACGACAGCAGGAGTGAATCCGATGCTGAGAGCCGTGCGAAGTTTCCGATGTGCATTATCTGAGTCATATCGTTTCCCGGGCATTACGTGAATGCGTGAGTCAACTGACCTCTCAGCGCCATCGGATTCCGCCGCCCGTATAGTGCCGTAGTCAAAGCAAGAAACATCGGCTCATAGTAAGCGTTGTCATTCTTGAGAAGGTGGTTGAGCGCCACTGGGTCTGATACCATCAGTCGTGGTTGCTTTTTTCAGCGCGGCCCGTCAGCATGATTACAGCTCCCGATATCTGGCGAAAGAACCTACACCGAAAACACCGCGCAGCAGATACACCCCTCCATACTCACTCGCCCAACGATATTCGTTGTCCCCGTAGTTGTGCGGTAAGAACATCTCGGGCAGGTTGCCTGTCACAGTCGCTCGATGAGGGGAGCACTATGTCCGACCAGGACGCTTACCGAACAGCCAAGATGAGGACGATGGCCCAGGGAGCAGTCTCACATCCTGCGATCGGGCGTCTACTGCTCGCTTCACAGCATAAGTCACTAAGACCAGAAGAACAACAGTGAAGCCTATTTCCATCATTGAGAAAGGCATCCCGTGCGAGTCAAAGATCGAGGGATTGAGCTGAGTATTCGAGAGTCCATGAACAATCGAGACAGATTTATAGCGAGCGTGGTTGGGGGAATATGATTTTCCGGACAAGCAAATGCTGAGAGGAAGTTAGCTCCCTTCTATCTCAGTACCGACACACATGCTCAAAACGGGGCATTGGCGTCAGCTTACCAGACGACTAGTGTGAGACCAGTGATGGATTCGCGGTACTATGCGACTTCGGCGATGTCGTGCTCATCAGATGCAGCCGAGATTATATATGTCTTCCGCGTGAATCAGATTTGTTTGCAGTCCATGGATGACCTCCATCAGCCGGATATTTCACAGTCTGGATACCTACATACCTTTGATCATGGTGGCTTCCACACGAAAATCCAGGGATTCAATGAGGCCTGTCTGAGTTTGCTTCTAACGCTTCACAGAACTTCTTCGCCTCATCGAATCACATTATTATTGACAGGTTGAACTCAAGATCACGCCGAATTGACAGGGGAGATGTTCCCGACGCTTGCCGAAGGACACAGTCTTTGCTGTAGCGATAGTTTACTACTGTCCTATGGGGCTTCTTATCCGAATTCACCAAACCACAAAGGGATACTGTTTTATGGCATCCTGGGTATTTTGTATGAGGGATTCGAGGTCGCATCTGGTTTCTTGCTAGAGAACTACCGAAAGCAATCAACCTATTCGGTCGAGATTAGATGATCTGTGTCGCAATCGATCCGCATCGGATGCTGTTAGTGTAAGCGCGGTTTGACAGCTCTCTGATTTCTTAGACTTACAACCAACTTCGAGGTCTCGCGCCAAGTTGTGTGAAGTCACCGAACGTGCGAGTTGAGACGACCTCGGATACACTCTTATCACGAGAAGTTGAGGGCAGAAGATTCAGAGTACGAAACAAAGTCCCAAGCGACCCTTCTAATCAACGATTCCTGGTGTTGCATTTCTAGCGACAGCTACGTCCAGCGGGCGTACGATCAAAAGCCTAGGACGCTCTGGTAGAAAATTGCAATGGAATACCGAAGATATTTTACGTCTTAGAAATGGCGTTTTTGGCGTGCTATCTTCGCAGCTGTCTGCTGCGATTCAAACCACCCTCTTCTGTTGGATGCTCCAATCTAAGCCCGAGCAGGCTTTCCTGCGCGACGAAAGTCTAAGATACTTGAGATGGCGCCATTAATACTTGATAAAGGATAGGTAATGGTTGTCCCACAAACAATCGCAAAATCACAGCATGGAAAGTCAAAAAGGGGCGGAAATCCAATACCGACATTTCATAATTGCGCCTGACGGGATCACGGTATTTGCCGAGTAAGTCGTTGAACCTTCTCGACTGCACTGTTGAACAAGTACGACTCAGTGCTAATGAACTCTCCCATTTCTGCCTTGTCTCCACCTTGTCTTCGAATTTTCCACATATAGGACGAGGCTTCACCAAGATAAAAATCTCTTCTTCGACTTCTCCTTCAGCGGGTGATTCTTTGCCTCCAGTTGACATTGTCATTCGTAATGCCATTTAGGATGATGAGGCAACTCGTTCATGGCATGTAGGCTCATGTGGCACTTGGAACTACCCTCAGAATTCCGCAGTGCTCGCCTGTCCACGGCTTTGCAAATTTACAGGCCGACGGCGCTGGTGGTAGCAATCAAGGAAGCTGTGCGCAATGCGCATCGCTTTTGACGTTTAGGTGCGTCCTTCATTTTTACCGTTTGAGCGGGTTTCGATCCTTCCCGAGGCTTCTCGAGAGATGTCGATATGTTATTTGACCTTCGCGGCGTTCTCCACATACCTCCTATCCAGTCTTTGGCGCAAGGAAACGCACTCCATCTTCGCGTAGCGATCTACGGCCTGCTCATCCGGCATGGCTGCGCTCGACCTCGGCCTCGCTAAACGCAGAGTGCCAACGTCAGCGCCCACCGCATGAAGAACAAGGGTTAAACTTTTACGTTCTACTCCGCAAGGATCGGGTGTCAGGTGCTTGATGTAGTTATATAGCACGGGCGAGCCGAGCTCACACTCCACCCAAGCACGCTTCCAACCTTCTGCACCATGGTCAACCTCCTCGCGCTCGGCCTCGCCACCCTGTTCCCCGCGCTTGTTTCGTGCACACGGGAACCCGTCCAGATCTCGTCTTTGGCACAGGACGCGCCGAGCGTTGCGCGCTTCACATCGGAGTCGAGCGGCCTCGACGCGCCGATGGTGTCTTCGATCAACGGATCCAGCTTCGACTGGTGGTACTTCGATGTCGTCTCGACCGAAGACGCGCAGCCCAACTCATCCGTCGTCGTCACGTTCTTCACGAGCTCGCAGGCGGCTTTCCCGCTGCTTGGGCCAGCGCCAAACGGGAATGTGCTGCCGGTGTACCTTTGGGTGAACTACCCGGACGGCACCGAGCAGACAATCATCACCTATGCAACGGGTGCTGCGGTCAGCGCAGAGGGGGATCACGCGAACGGCGTCTGGGAGGGCACGGGCTTCAGTTTCACGGGGATCGGCAAGGGCGGCAAATATGTCGTCGAGATCGATGCACCAGAGCTCGGTGTCAAGGGGTCCATCTCATTCCAGCCAGTGTGTCGCTCTCTCGCTTCGTGCTGCTCTAAAATTTCTGACGAGGGCTGGGTCTAGAGAGCACCGGCGCATTACCCCTGCGGCCCGGTCAAAGCTGGCCAGAATCTGCAAGTTGGCCCGCACATCGGCTGGTCCAATGCGATCCCGGATGCCAAGTCGAAAGTTCATCTCGTTGTAAACGGCACCACGCTTGCATTCACCGGGGCTGGATACCACGACAAGGCGCGTGCCACCCTCAATACCTGCCCACAAACCTTGTCCTGATACGATTAATCTAGAACTGGAGCGACCAGCCGTTTACGACTGAAGTTGCCTCTTGGTACTGGGGCCACGGGCAAGTCGGCGACTACTCTATCGTCTGGTTCGACTTTCTCGACACTTCCGGCGCGGAATTTGTCAGTGCCTACGCTTCGAGACTCGGGAAAGTCGTTTCCGAAAGCTGCGTGCTCGGGAGCATCTCGGTACGCCCTTCCGGCGCCAATGCAACTTATCCTCCGACGATCTCAACACCCAATCCCACTGGCTATGCCATCACGCTCCCCATCAAGGGCGGGGACGTCCTGAAGGTGGATGTGTCGGTCACGCAGCAACTCATCGGTGCCAACCCATTGTACATGCGCTCCGTAGGAACGATGTCGGGTGTGGTGCACACCAAGCACGGAAAGAAGAAGGGGGGGAATATGTCTGGAATTGCTCTTTTCGAGCAGTTCAAACTGACGCAATAGTCGGCGGGACGCGAGTCACCCGAATTGACTGAATCTGTCACCTGCTCTGTGAAACGGTAATACATCGGTGGTTTGCGGCGAATAGCCTTGTACTAAGTATATGTTGGCAGAATCTGTGATATATCATCGTACTGTAAACATCCCCATTGCAATTAATGTACTCCTCTATACCATACTTACTCTTGATATCGTGTGCCTTCGTGTGATCCTCCTAACATTTTCTGTTCTGTCTCCCTAGAAGCTAGCGCTGCGCCGGATCCCCGGCGACTGTGAAGCTCACCTTTCATGTAGATCCACTCGGCGATTCCAATCGAAGTCAAGGTTGAAAGCCCCCTCTCTTAAGTTATATCAGTGCTTTCGGAATCCTCTTCTTCGTGACAATGATCGTGGAAGTCTGCATGTAGATAGCTCTGATTCGGTCCTCTGATTCGGTATAGATCTCCGCCTTGTTACTTCCGTGGACTCAGTGGGCTTGAGACACCCGGGACGTCAACTCAAGATCTAGATCAGTGTCTAACTTAGACGTTAGGCAGAGGCTTGTGAGGATGAGACGCGAGGATGCATTGTGGTATATCCGAGGAACAGGCACTAATCACTGAGATATGACAGCAGAATAACTCAAGTCAACTAGCCAAGGTTTTCTTTTCCTACAAAGACTTGCCGCCCAACTCGGACCGCCCCTCCTCGCGCCGCGTTTTCCATTGCATATCGCGACAGCGGCCGAAGCCGGCGATGCGTCTGGACTTTGCTCGTGTTCTCGGAGTTCCCCTTGGAGTTCCTCGCCACCTTCGATCTGAGCGCTGAAGCTGGACAGTTGTTGTGCACTGGTCCGAGGACGACACGACCGCCACTCGACGCACGCGCCTTCTCACCAGCGATTAGCCCCACCGGCGCCCTCGTCTCCGCGAACCACGCCAGCTCGCGGTGGTGCTTCTCCCAGGCTCTGACCGCACCTTCGCGGCGCACCGCGTCGTTCACATCTACCGCGCCATGCACTTCAACGCGCGCCATCAGCGGCTGCGCAGACGGATGGGTGCCCACGAGCGCGTCGGCAGCGGCATGCAGCCCAGCAGTGGCTATCCATACGTCCGCCGGATTCAAGACCAACGCGGGCGGGCGGGCAGCGGCAGCTGTGCGTGGGAGAACTTGGAGGTCGATCTCAGATTCGGTGCAGGCGGATGATTTCGACAGAGCTGGGCCAGGACGCTGCGAGAACGGCTGCACTGGGCCGGATACTATCACCAGAGGCTTGAGGTGAAACGGGCGGCTACGCGCAGCTCGGCGTGCCTGGCGATCGATGGTTTGTGAGCAACGCAGTGCCTGAGGAAGAAGAAGATTGTGGGCCACAACGCACCTCCCGCCGTCTAACCATCACCCGCCGCCAGGACATCGCCAGAGCACACACGAGCAAGCCAACGCCTATAAACACCGCGCAGGTCCTGAGAAGATCGTGGATCTGCGGTGTCGTCCAAGTGCGCCCGAGGAAAGACGCGGCGTGTGCAGGGGGCGCGTTTGCATCGGGGGAACTGGGCGAGGGCACAATCATGGTTTGTGTTTCCGTAAAGACAGTAATTTAAAAGGAGCGGCGGCGCGTAGGTGTGAAGAAAGACAATGTAATGGGGGTAGAATAGATTGCCTGTGAGAGAAGGAAAGCAGAGTTGAGATAGGAGAAACTCAATAGCTTCAAGATTCAGGAACATAACTCTGTCCGTAAACGACATATGTAGATCCCTGCCTCAGCGCAGATTGCATGGAACCGCAGGAGGTAGGACGCGATCTAGTAGGTTGTAGCACACGTCAATTCAAGGGAAGAGTAGTGCGCGCTTGAGCGCGAAGGTGGAATAGAAGGCGACTGGAGATGAAGCGGGTCTGCAGACGCCAGGAGACAATCTCGCATTCCGCATTAGGGTGGATAGACAGTCGAAGAAGGCATGGTCGTCAATGACGAGCCGACGAGGTGGTTTGGATGTGTTTTTGATTGATGCATGAATCCATGCGTGAGGGTGCTAGATCTTATCGATAAAGCCTGCATGATTTCCGCGTATGAAGAGTGGAGAACACAGAGCTAGTACGAAAGCTATTTAACTAATCCCAAATACAATAAGGAGTAACGAGAACGAATGGAAAGGTTTGGAATCTCTTTTATACGTAGTGTCTTTGTCACTAAATGTCTTTTGGCTTGGTCGTAAGATGGATGGATGGACGTAACACAGGCATGACATGAGCAACAGAGAATTCAAACCGCAGAGTCACTGAGTCCACTGTTCTTCTGGGACGAACCGCTGTCTTGCTGCTCGTCCTTCATCGCCGCAGGGACCTCGACCTCTTCCCACTGGTCGAGCGTCTCCGGGTCGTGCTGCTGAGCCATCTCGACTCGGCCAAAGCGTTCGCATAGCCTCTGGCGAAGCATTACTATGCCCCGCACGATGCAGAAGAGGATGATCTGGCCAGCGGCAATGCCGATGATGTATGCTGCGAGAGTAGCGTGCTGTGTCTGTGGGTCCAAGAATCCATATGCTTCATTTGCGTCTCCGATGAGCTCGCGAGAGGCGCATAGAGCCGAAGCACGTACTGTAGAATCCCTGTGTCTTGTGGGTGATGTAGGCGACACCCAGATAGCCTCCAAGCAGTACGATACCAACCACCGAAGATATCCACGGGGCCGGCGGCACATTAGTGAAGACGAGATCGAAAAACGCGAAGACACTGTTGAGCGCGTGGATCGAGATGTTGCCCCATGCTAGGTATGCGCATCAGATGGGAGAAGGAAGCTCGGTCTCGCTCCACATGCGCACCTGTTCTTTTGGTGGCAAATGTCGACGGACTAGATAGAAGAGACCAGAACACCGCCGTCACGATGAACGCTGACAGGGCATCAGCGTCCTTGTGGGTGAAGACAGCAAAAAAGAAGTTTCGACGCACGGAAGGTCGTTATGGTACCCTGCAAAAGCACATGGGCCGCTTGGAGCGCTCTCGGCCACCTCTGCAGCACGTAGCCACGGCTGCCATACCGCGCGTACCCGACCGTCTGAACAGCGGCCGCGATATAGTACGCTGTAAGTCCGATGTAGGACAGGTCCGTGAAGAAGCTTAGGAAGCTGCATCAAGTCATTCAGCAGCCCGTCACCCTTCCCCGATCCATTTCACGCACCTCGGCCCAGATCCCTCCGCGACATCGAGCCCAAGCGTCGTGCATATCGTGCAAAGGGCGTACAGCGCGATGAGAGACCGCAGGGCGGCGAAAACCGGCAGTGGGAATAGCGGAGAAGTGACATAGCGGTGTGTCGGGTCGAAGGTGTCTGCGGCGTAGCGTGGCACGCCCACGATGGCCCATCCGCGGGGAAGCACCGGTGATTTCATCCAGGCAGCCAAGAAAGAGAAGTGCGGAGGAGGAGAGGAGGAGGAGGGGGAGGAAAGTGGAAAAGGCACGCGTCCGCGAGTCGCCTGATTGGGATTTGAGTGCGTGATGGTGATGTGATGGCTAGAGCGCCGATCCATCTACTTATCAATTGCTGGGACTCGGACTACCTATTTTCGGACAGTGCGCTTATATCCGCTACTCAGAGTCATAAATAAACTGAAGATTCGAGCTCGCGGGGGTTTCATGCGCGAAAGGTTTTCAGCCACGATGTCCCGAAGCCTCCAACTTACATAACGTCCTCGCCAAAGTCGGCCTCCGGACACCAATTTTGCCGAATCCCGACAGCTTAGACGACGTTTTGACGTTTTGGCTGCCCGACAACCCGGCCAATCGTGACTGACCGCCTTGTTGCGTCAGACCCAGCTGATGGTCGTCCAGCTAGCTCGTGTTTAGTCACTAGTCATTGCAGTGAAGGCCCGGTCACGGATGATCCATGTACTCCATTGCAGGCATGTGAAGCAGCTCTCAGCTACATCTTTCGGAAGGATATCGCGTGAGACGGTCCTATCCCCATCGGCTCAGTCCGCCTGCGAAGGACACAAGCACGTCACTCGTCATGCGGCCATAATGCAGATGAAGGAGCGGCAAGTAAGAAAACGTGGAAATGAAATGTCGCGTGAAGCAGCCGTCTGCTTGTCAATCTAATCGTCTTTCTCGCTCGTCCAATCGTATTCGTCGTTCCTTGCAGCTAGGTCTGGACCGATCGACAAAGTCGGTATGATGCCACGGAAGCTCAAAGCTCGTGTCTATCGAACGATAGATATGCACTGAAACATTCTCGAGCCGGATTCCACCTCGAGCTTCGAGGGAATGCTGTGTGCGACGTTTCACTTCAGCGGTCACTGAACCTAGATTCAGTCAGAGAGACACTGATTGAAACAGTTTGTGCAGGTTCTTGAGAGCCGAGGCCCAGATAGAAGATGACTTCCAGCAGGGTGAGTGCCAGATGTCGCCAAAAAGTGGACGATAGTCGCCATACAATTGCGAGATTTGAGAAAGTCCAGCAGGTGTCTAGCTTCAAAATACAATGCTACGTGATGCAACGAGTGTGATCGTGTGTTGAGAATCAAGACTCCTCTAGTTCAGAGGGACAGGGAGGGATGAACAGGTAGAATGCGCTGCAGTGATCCATGAGGTCCCTGTGCGACCCAGAACAATGCCGCCAGTACTTTTACGAGCTACATCAGTTTCAAATAGACAGAGCGCGCGTTTCTAGGCTCTGTAGTCTGCCGACTTAGCGCAGATGCACATTGTGGACACGAAGAGAGTTGATCACACTGTGACTGTCACTTTCTTTTCTGCTTGCCAAAAACCATCAGCTGCAGCATGTTGGGCATCACCGTCGTCAGCAACTGGATCGCGCAACTCAATAGCCCCATATACGAATTCAGCCTCTTGCCTCTTTCTCAATCCGCCGTCCTTCGGAACTGTTCACATAACTGCTCGTGGGCGAATCTACTCTACTCGTAATCTGTCATATGACAAGGTCCAAGACGAAGCACGCGCTTGATTTCGAGAGACCCTGGCGACTCAATGGTCGAAGCTATACCTCTGACTCTCTGCTCTGCTCGGATGCGTCTGGGACACGCTCTCGCCTCCGAATCGCCTGCGCTGATCGAAAACGCTTGCCGCAGCAACTCGACACCCTCAACTTAGTCTATCGATTCAGCGACTTATTTTTGTGCGGTATCATCAGGTAGCGGCGGCTTGCTATGCTCCATCGGTCAAGCATGCATCTCATCCCAATTACTTGGTGTCTTCAATCAAGCTCTTTCGGCAACCATGCGCTACCCCAAGCAGACCAATCGACCAGTTAGCTCTCTCGCTGTGTCTGCGGTCGTTCTCGATGCTTCTCCTCGGGCCTGTCCAGTACTGGTGCCAAAAGAGTTTGCCGGTTTCCATTGGCCCAGTGCTCTTCATGTGTTTATGCTCAGCTCAAGAGCGGTGCGGTACATTGTTCCTCGGACAAATGAGTCAGTCAAGTGCCATCTTCTCAGCAACTCATCACCTGTCGCTGTCTCGTATGCGACCGGACCAAAGCGCGGGTCCAATCCGAGGCGCGACCTTCTACCCGTCCACGGATTGATTACTCCTTTCTGCTTGCTCAGACCGCTGTCCGTCACTTCCAGTATCCCGCTCGGTCGGAGTTCTCGAGTTCCATCTGCAGGCTACCTGAACGATACAGCTGCCGAGTACGTCACGGCAAACACATGTCTCGTCCGCCTTCCCTGGCTCGCGATATTGCGTGCTTTTATCAAGCGTTCAATGATCCGCACAGACCCAGCTCTGCATCGCAAGCACCCACTGGTCGCAAAACCGATTCCTCCGACTTTCTTCTGGTGCCAGACGCTGTTGCTTACCCACCTCGTTAGCGAAGAATGATCATCTGTCTGTCAGAATCTGCAGTGCGTCGCTTCTATGTTCAGCTCGCCATCTACTCGTCATCTAGGCCCTGCGTGTATTGATCGCATCTATGCAGCAAACGGAAAGCCCTATGTTCTCGAGGTTCCCAAAACCGGCCGTCAATGTATCTGCGCTGGACTTTATCGGTATCATACACTTATACTGTTGTAACGCGACATCGAATGTGCCACAGATCAGATAGATATGAGCCTGCGGCGTTTTGCGAATGTCGCGCACGCCTCGGATAGATCTTGTCAACATCTGCTCGTGCGATGAATTCGGATGTCTCGTGTCAGACATGGCTAGATTGTATGTCGGATGCGCAATGCAACGCATCGTGTTCTTCACAGCTCCCTGCGTTCTTCCTGTCTTACATTTTAGGACCCAAGAACGGCGATTGCAATATACACTCGGTCTGGATATTGGATACCGTATCAGTATATCATGATTTAATCCGTCCTCGAGGCTAAGCGGACCGTCCACCGTGGCATCACCATTCATGACGTTGAGTGCGAACGGCGCCCATCTGTTATCCAGGGCCCATAGATATCCGCTTCGACTTCGGTTGATGCAGCGGGCCTTGTGCGCCTTAACCTATAAGTAGCTGTCGACACCCACAACGGGCTCGTCATTGATCGTGATCTTCTTCTTCCTCACTTCCTCCCTCCGCTGATCCATGGACGCGGTATCATCGCCCATCGGTGCCGCCTGTACCGCCGCCGCCTTGCTGGCCGCTGTGTACTTCGTCAAGCAACGGATTTCCTATTCGCGGCGCAGCAACGTGGCCCGGATCCCGGGTCCGCCCTCGCGCTCGTGGCTGCTCGGTATGTGCGCCGTCCTCGGGATGCGTGTCGAGCGTGAGGTTCATCGTCGAGCCCAGGCAACATGATGGACTTCTTCCTCCCTCCGGAGTACGGCACGTACGAGATGGCGTGGCAGCGGGAGTACGGGCCCGTGTACCGGCTCAGTGGATGTCTCGGGGTGCGTCGTCCACCGCACGTGTCACTCCCCCAAGATCCCGAGATCTGACTCGGATACCATGCGCGTCCAGACGGACCGGCTGATGCTCTCTGACCCGCTGGCGCTGCAGGCCCTGATGCACGGGCACGACTTCGAGCACGATCGGGTGCTGGGGACCACCGTCGGATTCATCTTCGGCAAGGACAGCGTTATCGCGACGCGAGGTGGGTCCAATCCGTGCCTCCCATCACCCGGTGTGGAGTGCGTGTCGGATGGAGATGCTTATATCGCATCACACTCGACAGGGGCTGATCACAAACGTCTGCGCGCGGCCTTGAGCTCGATGTTCAACGCCGGCGCGACGCGCGGCTACGTGTCGGTCGTGCAGAAGGCGGCGCTCGAGGTTGTCGATTTCCTGGACTCGCAAGGGGTGGACGGCAGGGCGACGGATGTGTGTCCCGCCCTGCACTCGGCTGCCTTGCGGATTATAAGCGAGAGTGCGTCATTAATCGATCATCTTATCTGATCTCGCCACCGACTCGTGCTTTTTGACCGCTAGTCGTGGTGAGCGATCCGGATGCGGTGAGCACGGAATACTCGCATGTGAATGCCCAGCTCGCGTTTGTCACCCCCTGCTGAAGCTGTATCACCACTCAACCAACTTGATAGCGAGCTGCCGTGCAACCGGACACCCGCCAGCCTCGTCACAGAATGCATCATGTCGCTGCTCCCGCCCGTCTTCATGAAATCCATGCTCGCCTACGCGCCTGGCTCGCCGCCTAGCGTTTTCAGACAAGCTCGCGATCTCGGCACGCGATTCGGCCACGATATCGTGCGTCGCAAACTGGAGGAAGCGGAGGCGGATGGTGTCGAGCTGGATGGCGATGTCCTGGGTGAAATGCGTGAGTTCTCGAACTCTGTGTTTCTGCGCTCGGTGTTCGATGAACTGCAATCGCTAGTCAAATCCGTTCGCACGAAAGGCAACAAGCACCAATTGACGGACGGCCTAATCGCTGATCAAGCTGCTGTCCTCATCTTCTCAGGTCAGGAGACTACTGTATGTCTGCTGCTCCTGCTGTGGCTAGACAAATCTACTAATGTCTCGCTCGTCTAGGCTTCGACGTTGACCTTCTCCCTTTGGGAACTTGCCCGCAATCCGGAGTTGCAGGCTGAACTGCGGGACGAGATCGTGTCCAAGGCGGACATAGACCCAGATCCAAGCGTTCTCGAAAATATGCCCCTACTGAATGCTTTCATCAAGGTCCGTCTCCACGCATTTGATTGCAGCTACACTCCTGATCTGCCTCTCAGGAAGCTCTGCGTCTCTATCCCGCTGAGGCTTCGACTGACCGCACGGCAACTGTCGATACTGTCCTCCCCATGTCCCAGCCCATTCGCACACCGTCCGGGGAAGTGATCAGCGAGATTCGGATCCGGAAGGGTCAGTTGGTGACTGCTGCCATCGGATCGTACCAGCGGTATATCTCGTTGACCCACTCGTCGAGAGCGAGATATTGACATATACACACTTAGATTGGAATCGTGCTGGGGCCCTGATGCTCAGCAGTTCCGACCGTCACGCTGGTTAAAGGGCGAAAATTATCAGGCGCAGACTTTGGGTGCCTATGCTAATCTGTTCGTCTCATTTGGTGTATTCTAGTTTCTCTCCCCTGACATTCAATTCAGGTTCACTTTCTGGGGAGGGGCGCGTATGTGTCTCGGGTTCGTCTACCGCGCTCTACTTCCGTTTTTGCTCGACTGGGACTGATGATTTCCTTCACGCACAGTTGGCGACTTGCGTGAGTGCTATCATGTTCTTATTCCTTGCTCTGTGGTAATCTCACTGATTGTTGTTATTTCAACCAGTGTCCTCGAGATGCAAGTCATGATCTTCGAGCTGCTGCGTCGATTCACCTTCTCCGTCTCACCTGAGGCGGAGGTGAAGGTGCTCATGGGCCAAATCCTCGTCCCAGTCTATAAGAACAAAGATGGAAAACGAATGAAGGGGATTCCGCTGATGGTGAAGCGATTGGAATGACCCCCGAATTGCATAAAGACTATAACTGCCGATGCTGTGTGATGTGAAACGACCTTGAGATGTTGTTACGACTCTGATTTCATGGGCTCTTTTCTCTGTTATTATATTATGTAATCTGACTTCTAGTGCATCTCACATTGTAGTGGACTAGCGGGTGTACTATATACAGTGTGCTTACATTTGATTCTCATGCTAATGCAGCGGTAACAGAAGTGTCGTCTTCATTGAGTCACAAAAAACTCAGGGAAATCATGCAGAGGAATTCATTGGCCGAGACTCCAAAGTCCAGATATTGAGAGGCACGTATGTAGGCTACCAGTGCAGACCAGGACATCGTCTGCGCTCTGATTGTTGGATGTTTGCATCCAATGGACCATAGATAAGATTATGGCAGCCTGGCTCGACACATCGGCAGTATCGGTAGAAATCAGAAGGGCAAGCACCGTTCCCCCGCTGAGAGTCTTAACACATGCTTGCAGATCTGAAAGTGGTGGACAAAGCGGAGCTACAATTCGATGATGGCTGCTTACGTCACCATTGTCAGCACTTGATGAGCCATCAACCGCATCGAGCATTGTTCCACTGTCCATGCACCGGCAGGATCCTATAAAAGAACAGCGCGTCTGTAGATTGATCTCACTGAACTTTGACCAGTACGACAGCCATCTCCCCAAGGCTTCTACGCACCCGCGCGCCCTCCACCCCAATCAACTTGCATTCCATCCTACCCACATCCTACCTACGAATGGATCACTTCACTGACGTCTTCGCCACCACCGAAGTGGCGTCCCCAGCATTTGAATTTGATATTCCGATGCAGTCCCCCGTGCCCTGCGACCAAGATGCACCTCAAATCGATGGCTTCAACTCAAATTGCGTCATAGCCTGAGCAACTCACGTCTTCGTACGTCCTTCACCGGCCTCGCTAGCCAGCTACCGTCTCATTGAGCCATTAGAACCATTGGATCTTACCCAGCTTTTCCGCATGATATCGTGCCGACTGTCTTTACTTCTTGTCCTTTGTCTTCGCAGCGTCGGCTCTCGGTGCCTTCGTAAGTCCATGCATATCACCTACTTCTTGTTTCTGATTCATATCTAGAGCCACCCTCATTCTTTCTATTACATTTCCTTCTGAATTACAAGTGTCCTGTATCCTGTAGTGCATCATATGCTGTAGTGCATCGTCTCATATGTTGTTAAGGTCTCCAACCAATATACTTATTGCTTTTGTATGCGCACATTTCAGGCAGCCTCTCCACCTGAGCGTTTGAGACGCAATCCTGAACAAAAGATCGCATTTTTTTTTGCCTTCCAGCCATTACACCCGCACAGACCTGCCGCTCATTGACGGTGCTTGAGCAGCGCGTGACCTTAGTTCCGAAGCTGTGCATTGTTTCGATCTGTCACAGTCACTGTGTAACGATAATAGCCGTCACAATCCGACTCCAAGCGCACGATGACCCACACGATGACCACCGCAGACGTTGGCTGGGAAGAGAACGCACCCACTCACATGGATTAATTCTTTCCCTTCGATGCGCGGAAGCATCGATTTCCCACGCAGCGCGCCATCATTCTTTGACAATGGGCGGAGTTGGAGGACAATGGCATTTTGATTGGCCCACCCTCGTGGTGTACAATGGTCGCCTTTGTCCTTTATATAAGGTGTTTTTCAGCGGCGGCCAAGCGAACTTCCCTCCCACTTCCCTTCCTCCGCACCCTCAACATGCATTACGAACTTCCCATTGGCGCATTTTTGTCTGCAATCATCGCTCTCGTTCCATTGCCGTGGCATTGGCGTGCAGGAAATGTCCCCACTCTTACGATAATCGCCTGGCTCTTCTATTCGAATATCATGCTGGGTGTGAACTCAATATTATGGGCCGGGAACATCGAAACCAAAGCACTCGTTTGGTGCGATATCGGTGCGTCTCCAGCATCGTTAGCCTTTACCGCTGCTCATACCGACTGTGCAGCCACCAAGTCTCAAATCGGTGCCGGAATGGCACTGCCCGCTTGCTGTCTCTGTCTCTGTATTCAGCTAGAACGCATCGCGTCAGTGCGTCAAGTCCGGACCTCCACCGAGGAGAAGCGTCGTCGAATGTACCTCGAAATCGCTCTCTGCTGGGGTCTCCCTGTTCTTAGCATGGCTCTTCGTAAGCTTTCCTAGTTGCGCCCTCTTTTTATCCCCGCTAACTGTATCGTGCAGACTACATCGTTCAAGGACACCGTTTCGATATCGTCCAGGAGTTTGGATGCCGACCCTCCATATATGTTTCCCTAGCTGCCATCTTCCTCGTATACGTCCCTCCCCTCACAGTTGTACTTCTCACGCTGTGCTTTGCCACCGTGGCACTGTACCACTTCTTCCGGCGCCGCTTGACTTTCGCAAGACACCTGGCGGACAAGAATGCGGCGCTTACCCCGTCACGCTACTTTCGGCTCATGGCAATGTCTCTTGTCATGATGCTTTGGACGACCTTCATCACCGTGACCAACATGCTCCTCACGATTAATATGCCCCTGCGCCCGTGGATCTCGTGGCAGAACGTGCACAGCAACTTCAGCCGAGTCGGAGTCTTCCCGCACGTCTTCATCCCAGCGACGACTTGGAGGTGGACCTTCTTCGTCTTTTGGTCCATCCCTATCACGACGATCCTGTTCTTTTCTTTCTTCGCCTTTGGTCAAGAAGCCATGAAGGAGTATCGCGCGTGCTTCACCGCAGTCCGCCACCTCATTCAGGTTCCATACACAAAGAAGCATCCAGAGGGCCTACCAAGCGTTGCCCGTTTTCCTCACACCGAGCGCAAGATGTTTGTCGTTTCCGACTTCAATCCACACGCTACAGACATGGCGACGAACACCACCAAGTCAGTGTGCGACGACATTCCACTTACCCCCCACTCGACGACTTCTTTCTCCACATGTGCTCCGTCTTACGACTCGGTCTCCATTCCCGACAAGCTCGCCCCACACTTCTCTGACGAGGGCCATATATCTCGGATGGCTTGAAGTCTCCGTACTGAGAACGCTACATTCATTACTGTATCATTAGCTTCACGCACGCCACGATTTCGCACTTTTTATCTACTTCGTTGTTTATGCCATGTAAAGTACTTGCCACGAATCAGATTTTCTGATGATGAACCTATGAGAACCTGAGCACAACACACGAAACATACTGCATGTCTAGAGATTGCGGGTGCTATTCCCCACTCTTTGCGTTCCATCGGTTAGAGATCAGAAGAAAGGCGCACCAAAGGCATTTCAAATCTTTGATTGAGAACAGTGCGGAGTCTGAAATTGAAAACCTTGTGCTTGGAGGACAATGAATAGATGATACGCGCATTCTTCACAACGGATCCGCATTGTTCCCAAGCTTGATGACACCTCGGGGCAACGCTATAAGTTTGGGTCAAGGCCTGGGAACACCCACCAACACTTTGCAATAGCCCGCATCATCCGTCGCTCGCTCGACTCTACCACTTGGTCTTCACCAGCACTACCACTGCCCTTCGCACTCTACACACCTCTCATCATCCCCTATGGACTCCTTCTCCGAAGAATTTATCCTGGCCGCTTCTCAGACCGGCGAGCCAGTTGATCCCCAACTCTCGACTCCAAATGTTCCCGACACCGGCGTGCCGCTTGATGCGGACGTCGTCGCGCAGTATGGCACTACCTGCGTCATTGCCTAAACTGTCGGCATCACCCTACGTCTATCATTGTGCGCTATTTCTTAATCCTCCGCACTCTCATACTCATTCTTCTCTCAGTTTCCTATTTGCTACGCCACCATCGCATTATGTCTTCCACGCTCGGCGCTCAAACCTACACTCTTTTGGCCTCATCGGGCTCCCTCCTTTCGCTGTGCACCTAATCAGGCGCACCAATTCAGCACATACAGTATGCATTCATTGATGCCGCTGGTTCAGCACCAGCACGCATCGTTGCACTTCATAACTTCTCACTCTCATTGTATCGACGCACTGTAGACCACCCTCTCATATCTTGACTTATGTTGTTCTTTATTTTTCATTGTACCAAATACAACTGCATTCGAAATCCTCATTGTTGATCCCCAAATCCCGAATCTCGAATGCATTGTTCGGAATCAATAAGCAGCCAAGTATGATCCCTATCAAGCTGTGCACAACCTCCTTACGTCTCAGGTCCTTTGTCTCATCTCTTCACCTGGCCTCAAAACTCTTCCAGGTGGAAGGACCCAACCACTTTCTCTTATGCTCAAGTGCTTCATTAGTTGGGATCTTCTCGGATGAACGGAGCCAGACCGACCTAACTTGGCTCACTTGGATCAAACAGCAGTAGATACTAAGATAGATCTGCGTCGTGCTACAACCCCCATATAGACAGACTATTCGTGCACCTCCGTCGGTCTTGACTTGAACGACCCGCACCTGATTTCACGGCTGACTGTGCTCCCAAAGTCTGTATGCCAAGCCTTCTAGACCGGCGATACCAAACGCGAACCTCGCGTTCAATATCAGTAATATCAGTGGGCCATCGCTATCTCATCCAAAGCTGATGAATCCTTAGCAGCTATCTAGACCGGTGCAGTAACCACGTTTTTTGCATGCCCAACTATCCACTGCTCTGGTTTCTGTTAGGTAGACGTCCAAGCACCAGGAGGTGCCACTTGTGATGTGCGAGATGATACCAGGAAACGATTTCTGCGCGGTGAGCTCGTCTTCCATGGGGTGGGGCCCTGATCCGATTCACAATCCTCAGATTGCTTATAGAATAATGATATCGTCGGGATGTAAATCGTGTGCATCCGGGGTCGGTCTAGTCTTTGCTGACTCGTTACCAGCGATTACAGAGGCGTTGGAGATAGCAAGAGGCCTTATGGACCCTATCCTGACACCATGCCAGGTCTCTACTCGCTCAAGCTCTGCCTGGAGCTTTAGTGTGAGTAAGCTTATCACGGATGTCGTGAGCGATCTCAGTGGTCTTGTGGAGCTTTTAGAGAACCTTTTTGCCTTTGATTGATTCATTCGAAAGCCGCTGAAGACCGACCTCAAATGTTATCCGCCTGTCAGTGATCGCTTCTTGACTTCTTTGTACGGCTCCAAATGTGTTCTGTCAATTCACGCTGCCACGCACCTTTGCAACGAGATGTAGGATCCCTCCAATCCAACCGCATCGACTTTGAATTCGACTTAGAGAAACCGGGCCGGCTCTAGATTTTTCACATTACGATGTTAGCAGCCTGCTGTGACGAAGACTGTTCACGAAGGCCAACCCCGGATACCGATCGTTCGTGGGGAGTCCGTTGAGGTAAGGGCGCACACAGTGTCTGTAGCTTCGATGTGTTGCATTGTGAGTGTATCGATTCGCACGCCGTCATCTTTGCTGTATGAACCTTTGCATGATAGCCCGGGCCACTTGCTAACTCGCCATCAGGTGGCAAGAGTTCAAGTTACTGCGGAACGCAGTTGAAGGATCGGTAAACCAAGTGGAGCATTTGCCAAGTCTCCGCGCCGGTATGCATCTATGTTGCCAGACAGAATACCTGACCCTACATACTTGCTGCTGAACGACACGTCCGAGAACCGCAAAAGCTCCGGCAGCGATCGTAAACCTTGACTCGTAGGTAAGGATTTCAGGGTTGTCCCTGAGTTCTCTCGGACCCTCATAAGTAGCGATATCTATCCACCTTTACATATCGGGTCCGATTTGTTTTAACGGAAATCCTGTTGTCAGCGGTCTCTATCTGCTGCGCATTGCTTGATTTTTACAACGCTCTTCTAAAAATGAAGGCTCGAAGGTGTCCACTTCGGTGCAATTCTAGCAGGGACGGACACTAAAACTGGGGTGACAACAGACAAATAGAGATCAATCCTGGAAAGCGACCACTCTCCGAGAACCAGTGCCGTGAAATACTGCGGCCATATATGACTTATCGTTACGACAGGCCGAATCTAGGTGGTTCCTCCATGCCAGTCGGACGTCGAATACCAAGTTCGACTCCGATCCTGAGAAATGGTTAAATACTTAGTCGCCTGGTATCCGTTCAGAGCCGAGTCCACTCCCGTTCTCACTTTTGCGATGGGCAATGTACCACTTGACCAAATCAGTGTGAGTATTCTCATCTGAACCACGGATTATCAAGTCCACTAATGCAAAGGCCCAGCTGATCTCCATGGTCGTCCAAACGTTTTTATTCGGCATTTTCACAGCCATGTTCGGAGAGGCCCTGCGACCTATCCTCTCCAGAAACGTGATCGAAAAGAAGAGCGTCAGTTTGGTCTTGCCAACAGTGTCGGTTATCTGGCTGTTTGCCCTTGCCGTACGTCCTAATCATCTTCTTCTGAATCGAAGTGAAAGTGATCGTGCAAAGCATTGGATCATAGATATCATCCGCTTACAACTCGCGTTCCTCGGGCCCCATCCTGATCCTGTAGCGTTCTTGTCAGATCTCTCAACAGCGACCGAAGTGTCCAAGATCGGCATGAACGTGACGGTCACTTTAGTTGCGGACTGCTTCATGGTCGGCGGCCGCAACTTGTGGTCCTCCAAGCCTACTGAGCCGTTATTACAGATATATCGCTGTTGGGTGGTCGCACACAAGTCTTTTCTTGTCATCATCGTCCCCACGGCCCTGTGGTTGGCGGCCGGAGTGTCTGGGTCCGTCGCCACACGTCTGCTGTTCCAGCTACACACGGATCGCGAAGGATTTCATGATAACCTGTCACCCTGGTTTACGACATTCTTCACCTCGACATTGGCTGCCAACGCCTTTTGCACCCGTAAGTCACCTGGAAGGAAGAGAAAAATGGCGGCGAGCTGATTTCGACTGGCAGTTTACATCGCGTATCGAGTTCTTCGTTCGCAACTGGCTGTCCGCGGCTCTCAGAGATTACAAAGTCCCGTGTTTTGTGTGGTGGTCCGTATCGGTCCTAGAGATTGAGCCTCAACTTATGCTACTCAACAGATCATATTTCTCGAGTCGGCCGCGCTGTATTCAATCGCTTTGGTGGCCTTGTTGATAACGTTCCAAGCGGACACCAACGGCCAATTTGTCATCGTGGACTCGGTGCGTCCCCTCTCCTCTGCTGGCCGTCGTGATCGCGAATCATTAAGCCCTTCCCCTTCCCACGCAGATCTGTGCTTTGATCGGGATCACGTTCAGTATGATCATCCTGCCTACATTGAGCCGGTCTCAATCTCAAGTAAGCGGGTCGAGATCTACGCGTCCCGTACCCCGAATGCCCGCCGAGGGTGTCACCGTGTCGAGACTGGTGGAGGTGGTTTCCGATGATTACGAGATGAACTCCCTGCCTTCATGCAAGCATGTCGGCGTCGCTTGAGCGGAAATTGGATAGATTCATTACAAAGATGTATATTACGTATTGTAATTCTAAATTCGACCATTTGTATACTTAGCAGATAATAATGATATCACGAATAGAAATCCATTAGAAATCTTAGAAATCAAACGCACTGGATCATAGTTTGGTCCGTCACATGTTTTTATTTTCAGAGTGGACACCAGTTGCTATCCCACACCGTCCGTCATTTTCGCCTCCACCAACCTGGCCAACTTATCATTCGCAAATATAAATCTGAAACTGGGCATGGAGACGCTTCCTGAGGAAAATGTCAGAGATGGTGCTTTGCGATCAGGACTGTGAGTCGAGTAGGCGCGTTTACCAGGTCGGGTGGCGCCTGAAAAGGTTGTAGAACTCATTGAAGGATTTCCGGTGCACGTTCGATGGTCTGAGCTCACTCACTATTTGGCAAATCAAGGGCTTTGTCACTTTCGAAATATCCTTTAATCCGACTGCGAGAATAGTTTAGCGTGCTTGAATGGTCGTCAAGAAATGACTGCAGTGACAGCTTTACATAGCTCCCAGATATGTATCTACGGGCCCTCGGAAATCGGATCAGCAGAGCACACTGAATCCTTTGCCGTGGCCTACTGCACTGGACAGTTCGTCCTTGTTGCCATGTCAGGATCAGGATTCTTTCACGATGCGCTAGGAGCAGACACAATGGAGCGCCCTCGGAGTCTGTATGACTCACGAGGTCAACGACAAGATCCATGTATGGATGGGCCTATTCCTCGGAACATGGCTGCTCCCCGGCGCGACAAGTTGTACTTCAGCGTCGCGAAGGGGCTGGCAAGGTGTATGGAGACAAGTTTCCATTTTGTAGTATCGATTCTGCTCTTTCCTACGTGCTCTCCATTACACTGTGGACGAAGCGTGAGATTTATACCTTGGCGAGGAGAATCAAAAGCTACTTTGAATCGGGACGCCCGAGGGTCACCGAATCCTGCTGCTCGAATTCGCAGCTCGCCTGCCACGTGGTACGCCAATCTGAACTTCAACTGAGTTGAAATGATATTTCAGCTGTCGAAAGATCAAGGCTCAGTGCTACAAGCAACATATCACAGCCTCCTCTGCCGACAAGTTGTGTACGTAGTTTCGAGCATCCGATCACAATGCTTCCGTGTTCGTTCTTCCACAAAACAAGATGTGAGACTTATGCTCATTTGTCTTGCGCTTCACACACCAAGTCAGTGCCTTCCTATCCGATGCAAACAGGATGCTCACTGTGCGACGTATCGGCCCATCATCCAATGACATCTCCGCGCTCGTTATAAAAGTTGCTTTCCTTGTAAGCACCACCACCAGGGCAACATCCAAACGCAGTGTCAATCTCGTAGAGCATGCCCCGGTAGTCGGAAGCTGAGTCGCCGCTGTCGTCGCTGGATTCGAGGTCGGAAGGCCATTCACCGCTGCCGCCTCCGCTTGGACTTGAAACTCCGCTTCCTATTATTCCACTTCCGCGACCACGCCCACGTCCACGTCCACGCCCAGTGCGGGTAGCAGGTTCGGAACCTCTTCCCCTGCTTCCACCCGGCTGGCCACTGCGACCACGGCTTGAAGCACGCCTTCCTCTTCCTGTCGCACCATCAGTTCCATGACCTCTGCGAGCTCCTCTTTCTCCCCCTCCTCTTCCTCGGCCAACACCATGATCGGAGGTACCTCTAGGCACAGTTCGCCCTCTCCCACGGATGAATCCACCTTGACCCAGGTCGCGCGGGCTGCCAGCGCCTCGAGTTGCGCTGCCTCTTCCCCTGGCAGGACTGGGAGTGGGTTGATGAGCGGTGTCGGTGCCTATCATGACGCCACCGGAGAGTCCACCGCGGCCGCGACCTCTGGCACGCGCACGGGGCTGTCCTGCACCACGCGATGTCGCTCTTCGTCCTCCGCGACCTGGCTGGCCACGTCCCCTGATCTGTGGGACCGTATCTTGGGCAGTCAATTGGATATCCATGCGATCGCAGGGTCGAATGTCAACGAGATGGAAGAGGGAGTGAGCCACTCGTGACTGCGCCAGATATGATTCGCGGGTTCTCCCTAGATTGCGGTCTCAGAGTGGCGCTTCGCAGCCAGCGTGTGCTCACGCGGGGCTTCTATGTGCAGATTGGGGTGGATCCGTCAGCTATTTGGAGTGAACGAGACGCGCTCGAGCTCAGTCCGAGTACAGCATCGACCATGCGAAGTGCCCCCAGTGCCGATTCGTTTGCAGACTGGCACAAGGGCATACCAATCTTCTTGGCACCAGATCAAAGAGTTTAGGGCATTTTTGAAGCGAGGGTAGGTGAATTTCAGTCGATGAAATTGCAGCGGTAATGTTTGCTAGCGCTCCCAGAGGTATGTGTACTTGGTAGCTTGCTCAGCCTGGACAATTGGCTGTCACATTAGTCAGCTTGTTGATGGATATGTACAATCCATCAATGACATCGTCAGCGTAGTAACTGACTCCGCAATGAGCGCAGTCATCGATCCATTAACGCTTCCCGAGCTGCTTGCCCGCATACTCTCCTTTGTCGCAGATCCCCAAAGGCGCAACCTCCTACCTTGTGCGCTGGTCTCGAGGGCGTGGGTGCATCCGAGCCAGACCTTGCTCTTCAGAAGCATCTCACTTTACTACGACTACAAACCCGAAGAATGGCTCAAATTGACCGAGATCTTGCGGGGCTCGCCACGCCTCGCATCGCACATCCGAGTTCTCGGGATGAGTGCCTCTCTATGTTCGTATGTGCAGCGGGAACTGCTTCACATAGCCTTGCCGAATCTGCGTTCGTTATCATTCTCTCACTTCCACGAAATTACCGGCCAGGAGACAGTGGATGATTTGCAGCAACTGATATCCACCGCACCTAGACTGCAAAGGGTGGCGTTGGCTTTGAGTTTGCCCGAGGGATCGTTCTACAACGCCATCCAGCGCATCTTCGCACGATGCTCCCATTCGCTGCGGCACCTCAGATTGCAGATCGGGACTCGTGAATGGGATACAGTTGACTTTCGAGGGGAAGAGAAAGTCGTCTCGCCGAGCCAAATATTCCTGGATTCTCTTGATCTGCCTGTGGTCCCGTTGGAACTCGCCGACGTCTTTAGCCATAGAGAAGGATTGCTTTCGTTGGATCAATTGCGGACGCTTTGGTGTCTCAGGTATGAGATGCTGGATTGGCCCGGAATCTGCGTCGTGCGGCAGTCGATATATGCTTTGGAATTCCAGCCTCCGATTCCTGACGAGGTTAGCGCGAGTCTCGCACAGTTCCGAAAACATAATGACGCCCCACAAGCCAATCACTTCTAGTTTTGAGATGGCTGACTTCCCTAATCTGTCGGTTATCGGTCTGCGCTACAGCGCATATTTGAGCAAGAGTGCGCCCACGTGTCTCGCCCGGTTCTTCCGAGATGTGTTTCGACCGACCCAGATGAACAGCACTGTCAAAGTTATCGTGCTCCCTGAACGATTGGATCCTCACTTGGATTGGCAAGAGGCAGACGCGGTGATGAACGAGATTTTCAGTGCTATGTCGCCTCCGCCCATGATTGCGGTAGACCGATTGGAGGTAATCTCCCAGTTCCTTCCCAAGCTGAGTCTGTCCGGGCGCGTGCGTCTAACTTCGTCCATCTGCCTTCGACTTGTCTCATGACTGATAGATGCGGAAAATCAACAGCGAATACGGCGAAGAGGTGAACGATTCGAATCTTGCGATATTGATGAATCTAACTCTATACTATCAGATCCTCCTCACTAGCAGATACGACGATTAGTAATACAGTGCAGACTCAGAATCCGTTATGAGGCATGCTTGGCATGTATACATCGATTCAAAATTGGGCATATAAGTACATTCCGCGTCGCTGCTACCACGCCACTTAGTCTGGACAGTAAGCATCGAGGAGCTTGGGATACTTCCGTATGTCGTAATCGCTGTAGCTGGGTGGAGTCCTCGGTCGCACTTTGAGAGGGGATGGATCCGCTCTGGGTCGATGACCGCCGCGAGCAAGTCTTGGGATCTGGTGAAGCTGGCGTCCCTGACGGTCGCAGTCGCCTCGGCGAGTGACGGTGGTATTGGAGTCTCCTCCTGACTCGCTGGCTACTCTATCCGGTTGTCCAGCATCGGTGCGATCCCTCGCTAGTGTCATTTCGTTCATCATAGCGGCGAGCTTTTGGAGTACTGCGCTAAAGGATGCTTCGGTCGAGCCCTCGTTGTCCACCGCCGTATGTGCCTCAGCCGTAGATATGGGTTGCCCCGAGTGCTCTGCACCAGGTACGGAGTGTCCGCTTTGGGCGCCGGCTCTGGATGGAGCTCTGCCGCTGCTGGAAACCCGTTCCCTTCCTGATGCCCCACCAGGATCTCCGCGACCAAGTCCACCTCCTTTGCTTCGAGTGCTCGAATGCCCTCGTGCCATGCGAAGTTAAGGCTTGTCACAGCGTTTTCAAAACGAAAAGAAAGAGTTGCGGCGACAAGTAGAGGAGCACGAGGCCAGGCTCTCGCGCGGGAGAAAAGGAAGAGTCATGTGTCAGCAGAAGGTGCGAGTCTGCGGTAATAGCGAGCGGATTGCAATAGCCCAGATCTTTGAGAAGTTCCACGGCTGTATGAGAAGGCAGGACAAAATCGAGGAAGCCAAATGCGAGCCAGAGAGACTGTCCTCGAACGACACATCATCGCCAACTTCTGTCCTCCGAGATCTGATGAGGTCCAGCGCATCAAGGCTTCAGCATCTGTTTGAGGTGCTCATCCTGAAACCGGGATCTGCGCGTCGGCACGCTGATTGCTGTTCACGGTGCATGGGACCAGGTTCCTACACTTTCTGCATTTGGCTGTCGAGGGTGAATCGTGTGGCTGTCATGGTATTTCATTGGATTTCATTGACATGTTTGACCCGATCATTCCGTCTTGGCCTCCCCACGACGAGGATTGGGCGCTGCACTGTACACTCGAATACCTCGTTTCCTTCACGTTCCAAGCTCGCTTTCGTGGGCCCCTTCGTCTCACGCCAGCGTTTGAGACGCCATTTCCCAGCTTTGTGGGGCTATCACAGGTCACACGACCAACATGTGGCAGAAACGCGCTCTTTCCGCCTGTATCACCTCGAATCTCGAAGTAGCGCTCAGTGTCAGAAGAGCTCGAATCCCCTTGATCCCGGGTGCATATTCCCACTCGAGCTTCATTGATACATACATAACCAGCACGCGTGACTCCAGGGACGGATCGCCTGCTTTTGTTCTTTCCCTCTTCCATCCTCGCTTCCGTCTTCATCTTCCTCCACGACAACAGCCAGTCTGCGGTCGGCTCTCCCTTCAACTTCGCCCCGATCCTTCGTCCTTCCGTCCGCTTCTTCTTCGCAAAGTCCTTTCGGCCCACGATGGTCACGCAAAACCCCCTTTTCCGCGGCGGGTGGACGATCAAGAAATTCAATGCAACGGTCATCAACGACATATGGCCCGAGACGATGTTCTTTACACTTGTCGCTACGAGTCCGTCTCCTCTACGTCTTACACTCGTCTCATTGCGGCTGACGCGGGTCCCGTCAGTGGTGGCAGTGATCACTAAAATGAAGATATACAATCTGTCCGTGAACAGCAGTCTTCTGACGGTCTTGGGTACGGTCTTGGGTCTAGTTATCAGTTTCCGGACATCGTCTGCCTACGAGAGGTGCGAGCGTTGTGTATTCTTGTTAATAGGACGTGCCTTGTTGCTCACTGTGCTTAGATACCAGGAAGGCCGCAAGATGTGGACCAACATCCAAATTGCATCGCGAAACATTGCTCAGATTGTGCGTTATCCGATCTCTGCTCGAAATCCACCTGACGCATATGGGACAGATCTGGATACATGTCCCGACTGATCGTGTCGACAAGGACAAGAACCAGCTCACCACCGTGCAAAGCATTATTGAGAAAAAGTCCATGATCAACTTGGTGCAAGGGTTTTCCGTGTCCGTCAAGGTGCGTCCAGGCAGACTCGTCTAGACTTCCTCCCGCTGACCGCGATGCAGCATTTCCTTCGCGGCGAGACTGGCATCTACTACGAGGATCTCTTCCCGCTCATCTGCATCCTACCTCGGTACGCTAGCACAGGCGCTGGTGCTCCAGGGGCCCCGAAGACCGATGCGGACATGCTCCCGCTTTGGGCCGCCTCCGAGGATGGAGAACACTGTCCCCTGCGCGACGCCCCGCCGCCCTCGCGATCGACCACTCTCTCCGCCACAGCGGCACCCTCGCTCCACTCAGAGACCGCCAAATCGCGCAGCTGGTTCGGCTCGGCGAAGAAACCGCGGGTGTTCGACCCCGAGAAAGCGCTCGCGGATGTGCAAGCCCATCGCGAGCTCAAGCCGGCGCGCAACCCCCCGCCGCTGTCGTTCTTCGACTTCTTCCCGTTCCTGCGCATCTTCGCTGTCTTCACCAAGTGTTTCGGCCGCCGGGGCAAAGCTAAGGTGGATGCCATGGGCAGGAAGATCAAGCCTGCGTTTGCAGAGAGCAATGTCCCGTTGGAGGTCACGATCTACTTGAACAAGTGCGTTGGTCTCTGTCAGTGCCAAGCACTCCCTGCTGACGACGAGCCTGTTTGCTAGCTATCTAGCGTGTACGCGTGCCCCGCTTAGCCGTCCCGATCCTTGACTGAATGGCTTTCAGACCTCCTCCGCAACGGCTGGCTGCAACCTGCCTTCGCCACGGGTATGATGAACAATGTCGCCAGTCTCCAGGATACGCTTTCGAATCTGGACCGCATCGGCTCTACACCGCTGCCGTTTGCCTACCAGGCCCATCTGCGCATGTCCCTCTGGCTATATCTCTTGCTGCTGCCGTTCCAGGTGGTCGGCCCACTCGGCTATCTGGTGATCCCGGGCACGGCATTCGCGTCGTTCCTGCTGCTCGGATTCCTGGAAATCGGACAGGAGATGTGCGTGGACAGTCTTGTGACCCGTTGATGATGACACTGAGCGCGTGAACCTAGTGAGAATCCGTTCAATTACGACCTGAACGACCTCGACCTCGACGGCTTCTGCCTCGCCATTCAACGTGAGCTACACGAAGTGACAGCTGTGCGTCTCCTTGTCGCCTTGTGGTCATTGTCTGATCCTAGCGGCAGCATACGACACCCGACCCGAGCTCATTCCTCTTCACGACCTGGAATCAGCCATTCGCTCCGGCGGACCGGCGCAGTGCGGAGGAGCTGGTCGCGCTCCAGCCCGACTACGTCCACTCTGAGCACCCGGATTCCGAGCCTGGGATGGCCACGATCAGAAGAACGCTGCTGAAGAACTGGCGCGATGTCGATCGCATGACCCGGCAGTAGTATAAAACAGTGAGCTCACTGGATGTCAGCGGGTCTGGTTACCCCGAGGATGTTCTCAGGATTGTATCAGCGTGTAAAGTACATGTACACATCTGTAACTGATTGTGAGAACAGCAATGTCATTGTACTGCCCGTGTATCACTTACTCCCAAGTTGCAAACCAGTTATAATAGGCGTATATCAACTCTGGAAGCAAACTATTTTACCCGTCGCCATCACCACCTAGGTCTCAATTCTTGCACTTCCAGAGCCCCGCCATCGAACGCCATCATTCCTTCGCTATGGAGACGGAGACGGAATCTCCCTTCCTCAGGCAATCTCTTCTCAAATCCTGATCTGTCAAAGCATCTGTAGACTTCCCTCGGTTTTCAGCATGAGCCCCAAGGCCCAAGGAATCGATCTGTGATAGCTAAATCGAGAACATAATGCGTAGCAGTAGTACAATGGATGCGATAATAAGACATGGTTGCATAAGTAATGGGACGCGCGCGGCACCAATCTGCTTTGGGCGACGAGTAAGATTGAGAAGAGATGCATAGGTGGGTGACGGCGCAGAGCATATGAGTATAGGCACTAGGATGATAGGGCCTGACGTCGGATTATCGACGTGCAGAATGCGAGTCTCGAAGTAGCAGGAGAGGCGGACTCAGTCTCGGCTGGACTCCAGGATAAATAAACAGACCACTGGTCGTAGTCCATCTCTCCAAACGGATGATTTGCGGCTGTCTCGAGAATTTCGGAGCTAGTTAGCCGCGATCTCAACAGAGATAGGATTGTGCTCGACGGCAAAGAGCAAGCTCTCGATGGACGGTGTGCGCTGGTGTTTGCGGAGCAGGGGTGTGAGATCTTCAATGAGATAGCGGAGCATCTGGACCTTCTCATCCACGGGTGTGCCGGAACGCGTCGTCTCTCCATCCCACCACTCGTCGTCACGCTTCGCTGCTAGCGGTTCTTCGAAGACGACACTCGACTTGGGTACGATGATGCTCCCTGCAAGCGTGGTCATGGTCGATGACCGCGACGGTGTGTGCGATCTGATCCCGAGCTCTGCCGGTTCTTCGGTGAGTGGCCCATCAAGGATGGTGGTGGTCAACTCGAGAGACGTTCGGCGGTCGTGGGATAACGATCCTACCCGGGTCCTCTGATCGTCATCCACATCCATCACGTCCGGTTCCTCAGTAAGGGTCTCGGATAGTATCATAGGCCCGGGAACTCGAGCATGGCTTGCTCGATCATGTGTAAGAGCAGGACCTTCAGCATGCCAACGGGCGACCAGCGACGCGCACCCTTCAAAGGAGGCGAGACCAGCCAAGTGTGTGATCGTGGCTGGGTTGTTCCCAGAGAGGCTCAGCAGCTCCGGGAGACTCTCATCGTCCGGAGACACGTCCGAGATATCCAGGAAAGTGGCGCGAGCCGCCGGATCGTCGAGCGACTGCAGAGGACGCAGAAAGGGTCGTGTCCAGAGAACCTGCCGAGGTCGTTGGCTGCCACGGATAGTCACCTGATCCCATACGGTGAGGACTTCTTTGTATGTAGAAGTGTGAACATGATTGCTTACGAGAAGCGTGAGATAATTGATGTCAGCCAGGAGCGCGAGCAAGTCCTCCACGTCGTTGCGGTGTTGGTGCGGCTTCCAGGCGCTTTCAAGTCCGTCAAGGATCAGAAGAATCGGCGTCTCGTCTGCAGCTAGAGAAGTCAAGCAACGAATGAGGCGTTTCCGACCAGCGCCCACTACACCCAATGCTTGTGATACCATGGCGACGAGATGTTTTGGGTCCTTTGCGCCAGTGCACTCCACAAAGTAGCGTCGACCGCCGAACATAATGGAAATGTCCGCGTGGTGACTGGCAGCGAGCGCAACCACTGTCTTTCCTATCCCATTGGGACCACAAATGCACACACGTGCGGGCTGGGAGGTTGTAATCGCTGCGACGATACGCCTCAACTCGTCCTCCCGACCATAAAAGATCTTAGGGGAAGCAGGGAGCATGGAGATGGTGTTGCTTGAAGGTTGGCTTCAGGCATGCATTGTACGGCGCTAGAGGAATCGAACATACGCGGGCGGCGGCTCGACAATAGCTGGACGCTTCCTTCGTGGTGATCCACCAAGGGGAGACCCATCATCGACTCGTATAGAGATTCGCTGAGATCGTTTCTCCTTGAGGATGGCGACGAGTTCTTCGTGGCGCTGTGAAGCATCTTTCTGATAGACACGGTGGTAAGAATCAGCGCCGATGTTCGGATGATGAACGAACCTGCATCTCTGCCATGGTCCTGGCAGCAATGATCCCCGATTGAACCTGTAGATCAGTCAGAAGTTGTCCAAGCACCAGGCGGACAGAACGCACACCGAAGACGTCCAGTGCGTGCTTGAGGCCAGCATTGCAATCCGCGATCAGGTCTGCGTCGTCCATCGACCGAAAGACCCGTCTCCAGAACCCGCCGCGCACCTGGCTGCGCACGAACGTCAGTATCTTCTCGAGGGTCCTGCAGGCGCACAGGGTTAGGGGAAAGACCAGGCAGAGCTGCTCAGTGCGACGCACTCAGTGAATTGCGTGACGCTGCGGGCGATCGCAGGCGACAGTTCCGTCTGCGGGTCGCAGCAAATGTTCACGACGGCACAGACGAGCTCGTACGCGCGCTCAGTCATCCGCTCGCAAGCTTTGACGCATGGTCAGCAGTGGAGATCGAGCCAGGGGGATCAGTGCGGGAGATTCACCATCTCTGTTGTTTTGCACTCTCTGAGAGAAGCAGAGCAGAAGCATTTTCAAGGGGTGAACGCCGCAGTGCGAAGTAGACGACGAACCTGAACTGTTTCTATGATCACCAGTGCCACACTGGCCATAACCTGCAAGTACGGCTGGTTGACCGCGTTCCCGACATCCTTTAGGAACGCGCATGCTACTGCGCCGTGCTGGAGCGCACGCTCCTTCTTCGATGCCCGGCGGGGGGTGAGCGTCATTGGGGAAACGTCTACAAGCGTCGGGGAAGTAGGATAGGTGAGAGGCCGAAGGAAAGAATGTTATTACATCTGGATCTTGTCCTCTTGCACGTCCGAGGGCCCGACCACAGGCACTGATGAAGCAGATGGCATCAGGGTTCTCAGTCTAATGACCAGTGGGCCAAGGTGTCATGCAGCAGATTGGGATGGTGCAGCAGCTTCTGGAGTCAAAATAGTACATAGAACGACACCGGAGTGAGGAAATTCTTTCTGGCTTGAAAGCCGTCGCAGGGTGCATGGAATGGGGAGAATGGTCTCGGAAATTGCCGGTCTCTCCTGATGGGAAGCGATGCAGTTTGAAACAGCCACTGACGCTTGATTCTCGACAACCGTGCTCCCAATCGCTACGTCTGCGCAGACTCTGCGAGACGAGGCATGTCACTGTGTCTGCAGTAATCTACCGAACGCAACTCTGGCTTTGGATGTAGATCTCCTTCGCTCACCAGTTCATTAATGACCAAGAACGCCTTACCCTCTGTCTTGCGTAGCACTGGCACATGCTGCTACTACTCCTCCAGAACCGAGCACTGAGATCGCACATGCCTGCTCAAAGGACTCGGCTGTAAGAAAGTCCCTTATGCCTCGGTCTGTCCTCCTGCTCACCCCTCACCAGGACTGGTTGGATCCACCTGCCACGGGCCATCTGGCACGGCATCGAAGAGCGTCATCTCGCCGCACCTATTGACATCGACTCGATGCCTTCTGTGCTTTACTGTCGCTCCTTTCGATGGAATCACCAGTCGTCCGTGCCACTCCGGCTGTACGCCAATTGCGACGATGGAACCGTTGTCGAATGATCAGACGTGCTCTGTTGGCGCGGTGTCTACATCTTCTGAAGGCAGGATTGGCTTTGCATCATGTGATGTATCATCGGATGGACGACAGTTCCCTGTCTCTTCGAATGCCGTCGGCGCTCAGCTCGGCCTTACCTGGACCAGCGCCACTGGCGTCAAGGTTCCTTATTCAGTGGCCGCATAATTGGCGCGTACGGACACCCAGCAGTCGAGGGACATTGTTCATGACTTCTCGGGCCCATATACCACGAAGTCTTCCCGAGCCCAGGTGTTTGTCCTCTCGTTTTGCCATGAATGGATCTGTCCTGGACAAACCTCAAGTCCTGTTCTGGGCCCTGGCCGCTGTGCACATCCGTGGTGCCGACTCTACATTCTGCGGAAGGCACTACCGTTTCCTTCCTGGTGGGGCTTCTTCGCGGGAAGAACCCAATGAGGACGTAACTGGAAAAGGCACACGTGTATAGCTCGGGACAAGCATTGGCCCTATCCCTGCCCCCCCACCCTTCACTCATCTAGACCTGCCTGTCGAGTAAATCCGACAGTCCTCTGGATCAGAAGTGCGAGCCTCTGAACTTGAAGTCGCCGATAGGCACGAGTCTGAGCATCATCATACATCTAACGAACGATGCCTGTGCGGACATATCGTCTTACCTCTCTAGCCTCTCGCTCGGACCATCCGGTGGGAGCGGTCTCCGCGAGAGAAATCCTCGCCTCCTTGGTCTTTCCTCAAGCCGGCTCCGATCAGTCCAACGCCAGCTCGAGTTCTCGGAAAGCCGTCATTGAGTGGGTGGTCATCGCTGCTGTAGGTGCTCCACCCAAGACTGTCAGACTTCCTCGCCGATCTCAATCCCCCAGGTGGTCATACTCTTAGGCTTCATACTCTGGAAAAGGTCCTTTTTTCTGCAAAGTATGATCCGGATCGTGCGCTGATGGACTTCTCAGTAGCATATTCCGGGAACGAGCGTCTGCTGGCAGGAGCTTTCTTCTCCCCCCGCTGCGCGAGGAATGGCCGGAGCACCCGCTCACGACTACAGAGCTTTGGGGATATGCGCATCTCGGGATGCCGGAAGCGCGTCTGGCCTATCCAACTGCAGCATACATGCCCCCTGAATCCAGAACACACGGGCTGGAAATAGGTCCCGGGGGCCGTCGTTTGGGGCTTGAGGGTAGATATTCACGAGGGAAGGATGCTTTGCCAGCTTATGACGGGCGAAATCGCCCCCCTGCTTATGAGAGAACGGCACCGATGCAAGTCGAATAGAGCAGGGTACGGACAACATGTATCATATCAAATGCCATTGATCATGAGATTTGGCCACGTCCCTAGCCCATCGGGCACAATAATATGTTGAAAGGAATGGACTCGTACAGCGCAATTGATACAGAGACAGATAAGTAGAAGGTTAATGATAGTGGGTGCTGCTGGTACTACATCATGTCTCCGACATGAGAAATGCTTCGTATGGCTTGAGATGGGTCAATCAGACGAGTGGATCAAAGGGCACTATTCAGAGTCGCACCTTGGTCGTTGGTAGGTCAATGTTTCGGTTGGGTTAAGCGACAACGCAGTAGAATGGGTCTCGAGTCCCTCCAGTGTTGCCTTGGAATTCTTGGTCAATAGGGATGGAAGGCAGGGTCTCGTCAAAGTCGCCTGAAGCAAAGGGCAGGGAATTCTCAGAGGTGGCTGACGCGCTGACTTCGATGGTGGTGAAAGTGTCCATTGTGAGTAGAGGTGATTGCAGGGAGTGGGTGAAAGTTAAGGATGACGAGTGGTCAAGATGACTGACGAAGAGCGCAACGGAGTAAGACGAATGATCTGGACCGCTGATGTTCGGAAGCGTTTCTTATATATTCGCCAGCCAGCCGACCCATTGTCTTCAACTTTGGCCGAGTTTGGTTCTCAACACCATCCCGGCATTGTTCTTGCAAGGGAGGATCGCATTGCCGGTAATTTATATGATGCGCTTGGGATAAATTGATCGATTGCAGACAAACAATTCTCGTTAGAACAGGACGCTTTTTCATCTTGGAGGTGCCTGTAGTAATAATGGATGGCTTTTCGAGCCGCAGCACAGATCGTACGGGCGCGATCACTATATGGCAGTGATTTGATGGCAAATTCAAACTCCGCATTGTACGTACACAATCCCTGCTCTTGAGGGCCTTTGTTCTTGGAGAGCACAATGGGCCCTTATAACGCTACGGAGCGTGGCAGGGAACGTACGCAACCCACCCCAACCTCTGCCCCCTGCGCCCATCATGACCTACTACGACCCGTACCCTCTGTATCCTGTATTTGCCTTCATCGGCTTCGTGATCGTCCTCATTCCTCTTCCCTGGCATCTTCAAGCTTGGAACGCCGGGACATGCCTCTTCATGTTCTGGACGGCTCTTGCATGCCTGAACAACTTCATCAACTCTATCATCTGGCGCGACAACGTCATTGACTGGGCACCTGTATGGTGCGACATTTGTGAGTGACTTTCCTTCGTATGCCTATTGCTCTCTGAAAGTTCTTTTAGCCACTCGTATCACCGTCGGCCTGTCTGTTGGTATGCCCGCTGCGTCTTTGTGTATCAACAGGCGGCTTTACAAGATCGCCGCATGCAAGACTGTCAGCATCACGAAGGCCGAGGTTCGCAGCGGTCCTTCATCCACCAGGGCGTGCCTTAATCCACTTTCCTTCAGAAACGTCGTGCGGTTATTGTGGACTGTGCCATCGGTCTCGGTATCCCTCTCATTCAGATGCCGTTACGTGAGCTCTTCTGTACACTCCCATGTCCAAAATGTCCCTAATCGACTGCCCAGAATACGTGGTTCAAGGGCATCGTTACGATATTCTCGAAGAGATTGGCTGCTATCCTACCACTTACAACACCCCGTTGGCATATCCTCTGAGCTATGTCTGGCCCAACGTCATTGCACTCATTTCCGCGTACTACTGCAGTGCGTACCGCCCGTCCTCCTCTTAGCTTCCCCCTACTGATCGAACATCCTAGTCATGAGTCTATGCGAGTTTAATCGTCGCCGAGCCCAGTTTGCTATGCTGCTTTCAAACTCAAACAACGCTTCTGCGCTGAGCATTTCGCGCTACTTCCGTCTCATGATGATCGCCACCATCGAACTCATCGTGGACACCCCCATTGGCGCCTACGGGCTTTACCTGTCCATCAAGCATTCACCTATCCACCCTTGGATTTCCTGGGCTAATACCCACTACAACTTTGGCTTTGTCAGCCAGGTTCCGTCTGTCTTCTGGAAGGCGAATCCGGCCACGGTCATAACTCTCGAGTTGTTCAGATGGATGCCTGTCGTATGCGCGTTCGTTTTCTTTGCCCTGTTTGGCTTTGCAGCAGAGGCTCGCAGGCACTATAGTCTCGCGTTCTGGGCTATTGCCAAGCGATTGGGTTATATGCCGTCCTCAAATTCGCCGGGCTCCAATGTCTTCCGCCGTTGGATCCTGCGGCGCTCCCCCCAATCCACCACATCGTCTCTCCCCACTTCTAAATACACATCCTCCTCCCCTCCTCGTACTCCCACGAAGCGAGGAGCGGACCCCTTCACTTCGTCTTTCGCCGACTCTCTCACCGATGTCGACAGCGAGACCGGCTGGAATAAGGAGAAGTCTCTGGCGTCGCCCTCGTCTTCAGGATCCCAGTCATGGTCGCCGCCAGTTGAGCTCGATGCTCTCGGCACTGTCGCCGTCCCTCTTCCTTTCCGCCCTACTGCATCCGATTCTCGTCCTGCACGTCCTGCGACATGGTCCCCATGATCCATTGACGACATTCTCTCACTTATCATGCCCCATCTGATTCGATTACTTCACATCTTCACTCTCATTGAACTCGACTTGAACCTGTATCTACAGTACTCTTAGTTACGACCCATTGAATGGAAGAACGCCGACGGATTCAAGTGCTGAATCCGTCTGGCCAAGTGTCATATACTTAGCAGATACGGAATTTTCAAGATCCATCCCCATCGTGACTTGATACCTGAGGCAGGATTATTCCGGGAGTGTGCGGAAGTCTTGATATGAACGTTCATATCAGATACTGAAGAGACAAAGCGGAAGCTCCGTCATAGAACAACTCGGGTAATGATGAGTCGAAATTGATTAGGTCAGCAACTTGAAGCTCCGTCTGAATCTTCCCTACGCAGGCAGCGTCCACCGCGTCTACCCAATCCAACCTCTTCCGCAGCCGATCCATGAAATGAAGTCGCTAATCTGCCAACAAAGTAATACAATCACTTGCTGCTGTCTTTCGGCGAGACCCTCAGAGCCATGATGTACGCACCGCAGCGCAACCCGTAGGAAAGCACGGACCAGTTCCACCTACTCAAACTCCTTAAAACGCATGCTCTCAATATCATTGGTACTGGAGGATCCTACGACGTTGGATGACTATCCTTTGTCCATTTGATTGGTATGTCTGGTTTCGCTCTTCTTACCATCGTGTCTGACAACCGCCACTCAGAGATCAGAGCAATAATGACTCTACTCCCGCGGGACACGGATATGGATATTCAATACGTTTAGGCGGCACCGTCCGCTCAATTGAAGGAGGTGCAGCGAGCGAGGCTGACGTGCGTTGGGCTTGAAGCCTGGCAGGGATCGTTGACGAAGAGCAATGGGCCTTGCGTTTCGCGCTGCACAGGGATATCCGAACAGAATCCACACCGTCCACGCACTGCGCCCTCTGGCTTCAGCATCTTCCAAGGCTTCACGACGAGCGAGCTTAGCCTTTCTACCCCATGCTATCTCGAACCCCTCTGCACGATCCCAACGTTAAAACCGCCGCTGGAAATCATCCCGCTGTTTCCACAGGTATCGGCCCCGCAGCTCCCCTCCCCCTCGTGCTGAAGCCTTTGTATGCGGCACTTAACATCTCACACAAAGACAAGGCGGGCGCGCAACATGTCGGGATGTGCTGCTGCGGATGGAGCTGGGACAAGAAGGCACTCGATGAGCCGCCGCAAAGGGGGACCTGTGAGAGTGAGTAACACCGGAGCTGGCTTTTGGTAGGCTCACTCCACATGGCACTACTCGTACGGACTAGCTCCTTGACGCATGTTCGCTGTGTCGTTGGGTCGAAAGGGAGCGGGGAATGCTGTAAGCTGTATCGAGTCAGCGAGCGGGAGACGAAGGGGATCTCGATGTATCAGAGTGATGTCGCGCATTTCTTTATCGACGCCGTCACGATAACACGGTGTTAGTTTGAGAACATGCGAGTCAGTATGACTCACTAGCACTGGCCGTACGCATCATTCTTGAGTGTTCCCTGCTGCACATACTTGGAGCAACTGCTGTGTCGCTAATACTTGCTGTCATGCATCGCACCTCCGGACATTCTAGATTCAGACCTTGCATGCAGTGGCTTTCAATAACAGATTCTTATGCACGCTGACCGGCACTTGAATCTTGTGTGATGTCGAGCAGCAGGTGTGGGTGACTGCGACTGAGTCCCGCCCCGATCACAGAGCAAAACCTCACTCAAGCGTGATCTTTTCGCGATTGTCCCATCACGAGCGGCGAACGGGGTGAGTCCCCCCTGCATCTATCAGACATAGACGCCTGTATGCGCTGACTCGGGAACGCCTCGACAAGTCATTTGACTGGGTATTGGGACAGTCACAGGTCTTCTGGATAGGATGCTATGAACGGGAGACGATCAGGCGTTTTTTCACGTCTCGGGTGCGTGCCCATCTCAGCTCGGCACCACGGCCTCCTGCTCATTGCGCAGTGTGAGTGCTTCCGGCGGGATATTTTGGCCGGCTTCTCGCGATAGCGAGGTTAGTCCCGCACCGCCCATCGAATTAGTCCGTTTGCGGTGGACATGGTTGGGCATGCGTGGGGGCCGATGACTACCATGCCCACCTTCTGCCCGCGCTCAATTCAATGCCACGCGAGGATCAACGACATTTCTACCGCCTTCTACAGCTGCGTAGGATCAGAAAGTCGAGAATGTTGGTACTCACGTCATTTCGTCGGATTAGGCACTTGGGGAACGAATCTGAGTTGACATGCTGTATTGATTTCTCTGTGGCCGACGCTACGGGACAATCATCCTCACGGTCAGGCTGTGCAGAGTCTCGTCTCGAAGGCCGGCGCCTCAAGAGTAGCATGGGTCACGCCGTCGATCCACATATAGAGCGAGTCACTGCGTTGATAAGGACGGGAGAGGCTGGAAGGAAAGGTGTGTCTTTCTTGCACCACTCTGCGTCACTTCCCGGCCTCCCTGCCTCCCGCAACTGACTCGCTTTGCCTGTGCACTGCATAATGCGTCGATTTTTCGGGTTGGACAATGGCAAATCGTCGCCGCGCCCTCCTCGGCCGCGCCCGTCCCTCCGCACCACTATCGTCAGTGGCAGTGTCCGCTCGACGGTGCGCTAGGCATTGACAACGTCCCTCCCCCCAGAGCACGTTCTTGCATCCGTCCTCGGGCTTCCAGGCCCCGACTCGCTCTGCGATTAACACCTGGGCGCCCGTCAATACACTGACGAACCAGAACGACGTGCAGATCCTCATCAGCCGGATTCGTGCGCGGTTGCCTTCATTTGTCGTCGTCGTGATTGCCTGATCCTTTGAATTGTAGGCACTGCTGCTGCGTCGACCTCCGAGACTGGAGACCGAGAGCTCGTTCTCGAGCTCTGTGATCGCGCGTCGTCGGAGGAAACCGCACGAGAGACGGTCAGAGCATTGAAGCACGAGTTCGAGTGCGTGTTTGGCGCTCCTTCCGCCTCAGAATCTACTGCTCATGTCCGCTAATGCAGATCCGGAACTACTGCTGCGCAACTCAATGCTGCTAGGGTATGAATCAGCCTTGTCGCTGCGAGACTGACCGTTAGCTGACACGATATCATAGCTTTGGGCAATCCTGCTGCGCAATTCCTCATCAGTTTTTCAACAGCATTCGGTTGCGGAGGACTTTCTGGCCGCTCTCGAACGACTGATGATCTCACCCGAGACGTCACATCTTGTCCATCAGCGGGTTCTCCGTGTCCTGGGCGATGCTGTATTCAACTATCCTGATTGTAGGCGGATCATCAGCTTTGCTCTCGAGCACTGGCCAATTCTGATCGTTGTCAGGCTGGCCTTTCCGGCGTCTCTGGCGCATGGTGAAAGGGGCAGACCAACCGGATGATGGTGCATTGTATAACGCGTACGACGATGTTCTGAGGCCTTCGATTATCATCGATGCTCCGTCGAATCAGGGCACCACCATTCTCGACGACATCAGTCTTCGGGTCAGCCCATCACATCGCAGTTGTCAAGCTTTCACTGATGGGCGCGTTTCCTGTAGTCTCCCATTCACTCATTTCCCGATGAGCGCTTTCCACCCCCAGAACGAATGCGGGCTGTCGGACGGCCGGACAGCGACCAGCCGCCTCCCTATCTGCATGCTGTTGGTGGGGCAAGAACGGGTGACGCGAACGCGACTCGGGCTTCCCCTTCGCTGCGCCCTCAGGATGAGCAGAGGGGCAGTGAGGCGCCTGATATTCACTACCGTCGAGGAAAGAGGGCCGAGGGGCTCCCCAGCATTTCCTCCGCTTCAGACGATCCTTGGATGACTGTCGGACCGTCTACTTCGCCGGTGCCCGCTTCTCCATCGACCTACCGCATGGGCCTACCCCACCAGCCAATACCGGCTTCCTCCTCGTCTTCCACTCCGGACCCCCCGCCTCCGTCGCGAGAAATGATAGTGTACCCGGGTAAAGTCACTCGAAATGGAACGCTGGATGGTCCCAGACATCGCAAATTGCGTGAGTACAAGTTTGCCAGCTTTCCGCACCTTCCAACTCGTTCCTAGCCCTTGTCCCCGCCGTCAACGTGATGTTCCGAGGGAACAACATCCACACACCGCCAAACTCACCATCTCCTATGTCGCAATCCTCGGGAGAGCAATCGCCTGAGAAGGCTGTGCGTGGAAGTTCCGAGCGCAAGATCTGCTCCGTGAGTCGCCCTCCTTTCCTCTGATGCATAGTCTCAGAATGATGTAGGCAACTTTACTGTATCTTGTGGACCGGGCCTATAACATGGACAATTCAAAGTTCGATTTCACCGTGAATGCTTGGAATGGCGATAGTGACTTTTCCTCAGCACACTGAATCAATTGGGAAAACTGAGCCAGGAAATGGCGCTTCTCACGCCGAAAGCTGCTCTGGCTCATGCGGTAAAGTATCGGGACCTGCTCGCCCAGGTTCGTTGTTGCGGTTCTTAAATCGAATGGAAGTTCACTGCTTTGATAGATTGCATCAGACATGGGGCTGGCAGGGACAGAGGATCTCACTCGAGCCTCGAAAGAGGACGAGGAGACCCTGGCCAAGATTCTCGTCAAAGTACTCAACTCGACGACAGATGTGCAAAGCATCCTCCATCTCAACGGCGCAGCTGCCCAATCTGTTCTCGATATCATTCAGCATGTAAGCAAGAACAATCCCACATTCAACGTTTGATACCGATGACTCGTCAGATCTCGGACCACGAACTGATTCGCACCCGCCGAGATGTGAGCCTGCGAGCGAGGAAACTCGTGATCAAGCTGGCGCGGTCATGTGACATGCTGCCCACCTCATTGATGATTTCCGGCGTGTCGCAGCGCAGAGTGCAGGCGTCGTTCTGCGGTGGCTTTGGTGACGTGTATCAGGCGATGTACCGGGGCGAATTAGTCGCACTGAAGCAGATGCGCGTTTTTCAAAATTCGGATCAACGAGAGGTGCGAAGGGTGAGCGATTGATTGGCTCTGCGATGTCGTTCGTCCGTTGACTTTGTCGAAGAAGTTCTGCCTCGAAGCAATGGTGTGGCAACGTCTGCGCCATCCGTGCATTGTACCGTTGATTGGAATCGACACGGAAAGCTTTCCCTCGATGCTGTGCATGATTTCGCCCTGGATGAAGAACGGAACTGTACTCACGTATCTTTCCTCGGTCCCCGTGGCTAGTCGCGCTGCACTTGTAGAAAAATTTGTAAGTCTTGGTGACTCTCGTGATTATGTTGGCCAACTGCCCTCCAGATACGTGAAATCGCAGAAGGCCTGGCGTTCCTGCACGATCAGAATGTCATTCACGGGGACCTTCGCGGGGTACGTATCGTCCACCCTGTGTGGGATCTAGTACTGAGATCCAAGCAGTCCAACATCCTCGTCAACGACGAAGGGCATGCGTGTCTCACTGACTTTGGTCTCACGGTCCTCCCGGACTGCACGATCAGCCAAACACACAATGGTGCCGGCAGCGTGCGGTGGATGGCACCCGAAACCCACAACCCGACCGACTGCGGCCTACCCCCTTCTGGGCTTACGCGCCTCCCGGCCAGCGATATCTACTCCTTCGCATGTCTGTGTTTGGAGCTCTACACCGGCTATCCGCCGTTCCACAACGAGTTGATGCGTGATGGGGGTGTGATTCTGAGAGTCCTCGGGGGTGAGCGGCCGAGGCGGCCTTGTGGTGGGGATGTCGATATACCGGATTGGATGTGGGGAATTATGCAGCAGTGTTGGCAGCATGATTATGCGGATCGGCCGAGCATACTGTGGATTCTCCTGCAATTGGCTCCGCATCAGTCATCTGCTATATTCATCTAATCCTAATTTTCGTGGTGTACAACATAGCAAGCTTGATGGGACTCGATAAAGCTCTTGAAATCCCATGAAAACGCATTCGTTATCATATTCACCTTGAATGAGTATTTCATACAGAACGGCCAAGAATGCCGTTGAAAGAAAGACGATTTCGAAGCTGTATTTACAGAAGGGGGCCAAATATCTTTCGGAAAATCGCTTGTTCGTGCCTGAAGCTTGAAGCTTCGAACTATCCCTGTTTTGAGTGTTCGCAAACCATTGGGAAGTACTGCTCGGTGCCTTGAGAATATCGTGAGGATAACATCATGCCATTGGATGACTCGACGTGTAGCTACTAAACTCATATGCTAGTACATCATTATCCGCATGAATCTACATCGAGCAGGAAAGCTGGCGCATTGAAATCTAGGCTCGAGAATGTGTGCAGACCCGAAATGGGTCGAGTGAAACGATCACGTGCATCCCTTATCGACGTGCAGTTCAAGTAATGCAATAGATATTCGAAGGAATGTCCCAAGACCCATAATAGATTACGGCTTAAACAACACTGGTATGTTTGGATGGTGGAAGAGACTTCATCTCGAAATCATTATCAGAAACCACTTCCACTAATCTCGACCCAGTGATACTCGGACCCTCAAGGGTAATCCGCGGTGTGACCCGCGTGGATATCAACCCGGTTGACTGCGACTGCAAGGGGCTCAGGATAGGTAGAATGATCATGCTGAATGTGATTCCTATCAAAGCACACATCTGTGGAGAGTCGTAAGCACTCTCCGCCGGCAGCGACGAGCGCGTGCAAGCACTTACGCAATCAACAAGAACAAACTGGCCATTATAGTCCAGCAGAAAAGTAACCAACATAGCTACCAAAATCGCCGAATACAGGGCGGCTGACTCGAGGAAGACGATCTGTTTCATTTCCCGACCTTTCAGAGGGTACAACGGAAGGCCAGATTGGCACGTACCACCGCACCGAGTGCTCGGCTGTGCAGCCGCTGAGACGTCCTTACGGCAAGAAGAGAGCGAAGAATGCGATATGCAACGAACACTGTCCGATGTTAGCCAACAATGCTTGAAATGCCCCAACTGACTCACGTGTGCAAAACAAGTTGGTCGCCAGTGTTGCAGAGAGGTAAGTGATGATCCATGGCCCGGCGACTTCGAGAAGAGCCATGTAGTCTGTGTGCAGTTTGAACAGAAGATACGTCAGGCCCGAACCAGCAACCCCTGCTGACAGCCACAGGAACGCAGGGATGGCGATGATGAGATACGACCTCTCCCCGATCACCCAACAGCGGTATATCTACCAAAAAGGTTTAGTCGACTGGCTATAGCTTCCAGGTTGGAGACAGCCAACCATAAACCAGTCTGCGAGCAAAGTGACTGTCACGTTGATGACAGACTTGGCCGCGTCGATCAACGTCGAGAAGTCCGACAGATATGCAACGGGATCGCTGGGATGCGACCCGAGGAAAGCGATCTGGACTCGGCTGATATCGATTATCCAGTGCTGTTCTCGCAGTGTTCAACACGAATGCGAACAGACAAAGTTCCGGACGTACAGCGAACGCGAGGCTCCAGATGACTGAGACTGTGGGCAGTACCCTGGTACCGCGATGTATGTTCTTGGACGCCTTTCTGCCAAGGAACGATCGCAGGATCGCCGCGTACATGGTGGTAAGGACCCCGAAAAGAAAGGATTCCGTCACCATCGAGATGAGCTGGCCGTGCATATGTCATCAGTCGGCGATCTGCCTCGAACGAACGACTCACAGCTACTTGGTCCAGTGATGGGTTGACCATCTTTAGGAGGGCGAAGAAAGTTGGTGCCTTGCACGGAGGGGGAGACTACTTAAAGGTCCAGAGATTTACTGGGCGTGTCACGGCTGGTGTGGAATCCGTGTGCATTGCCTGGATTCATGCTGCCGCGCGACAGTAAGCACAGGCATGCCATCGGAGCCGACCTAGAGAGGCCCCTCAAACACCCACAAATCAATTCAAAAGGTTGGATCACTTATCTGGTCAGACACACATCGAGCAAACAGCTGGCACCACCGCCATCCTGCTGTTCGCGAATCTCAGGGACCGTCAAATCGCGGACCCGCGAGATCAAGAGCAATTCTCTTTGACGTCGCTGACGTGCGTCTGCACAGGAAGGATACAGGGTCCACATTTCACTTTGTTCGAGTTTTTCGTGATGGCAATCACGCGACCAAAGCTGACCAACTGATGCCGCACATGACTCATCCTTCTGACCGCTTCACTCATTGCCTCCGTCTTTGACGACTCCGACCCGTCACCCCATGGCTGCGCCAGAGCCTTGGCCCTGGGTTGAATCCCAGGATTTCCTCGAGAATTTGTAGTCTCACATGGCATTTAAACTCCAAGACTCACTAAAAATCAAGCTACCCTCTTCTCGGTTTTGTCTTACTTCGGCGTGAAAATATCAACTGAAATCCGGCAAGGCGGAAATAATCAGTTACTAGCTCTCCTGACACTACACCCTTCATCCCGTAATATTCTCCACTTCACGGGAGTGGATACTGTCTGCGCCCATCAATCCCTCCGTGACAAACCACGGCGCATGTGGCGCCGACCATGCCCGGGTATCATGTACACCGAAACGCTCAGATTGAAGTCAAACGCACCCTGACGAGCTGAAAAAACAGTAATTCGTATCACAAATTAAACCCCTGTCTCCCTGCTCAGAAGACGCTTGGGGACACGGCGTTCATAGTTTGGACCACTTTCGTAATATGATAGTAATAGTGAAAATGGGAACAGTGAAACGCGACATGGCTCAAAAACGACATGGGCCCTTGAATATTTTATACGTGAATACTTGAAAAAAACAATATCTGTTATCTATCAATCAAGCCATTCTTCCAAAGAATTATAGCACAAACGATGATTACCGGGAAATTCTGAGGGATTTTGGCCCACGAATAGTCGGTCTATATGCAGGAAAAACATGAAGATTCGTATGATCAGAAAGTTGAATAAAGAGGCCATCTACGCCGCTGGTCGTTTCCTAGAATAAAAATGAACGGTTTTCATTTATTACCCCTTTACAAAATACTCGCAAGTCCTTCACATGCCATCAACCATGGGATGTCAAAACCCGAACGAGTCTTAGGACTCTCTGTTTCCCATCGGGATTTCAAAACCCATCCTTTCAGAGGCATGTTACAGATATATTATGATGCAAAGGAGCAATCTTGCGCCTGTGACTGGATATAGCTACTTGTCGATTAGACGACACTGGTATGTTTTACTGGAGAAAAAGAGTCCAGCTCGTAATCACTCTGGGAGATCACCTCCACCAATCTCGACACGTTGACGGCTGGCGTATCATGTGCTGCTGCCCGCGATCCGTCCCTCGTGGATCTCGAGCTGCTTGCATAGGACTGCGATTGTGAACGATTGTGATTCGATATGATGATCATGCTGAAAGTGATGCCGATCGTGGCACACGTCTGTGAGGACTGGTGAGCGTCTGTCACAAGCCGCGATGCAGGCCACAGCCACTCACTGAGTCCACAAAGATGAACTGGCCATTATAGTTCAGTTGGAAGCTGATCAATAGAATTATCAATAGGGCCGAATAGAGGGTGGCCGATTCTAGGAAGATGATCTGTTCATTGCCGAATCCATGAGTTTACGCTCAGCGTCCCACGGCGAAGATCGACACGGACCACGACATCGAACAATCCATTTTGTAGAGTCTGAATCTTGCGAACAGCCAACTGAGAGCGGAGAATCCGGTAAGCGATGTAGACTGTCTCACATCAGCGGCAAGTACTCGCAGAACATCAACTGGCTCACTGGTGCAAAACAGGTTCGTGGCTAATGTCGAGGAGAGAAATGTGGTAATCCATGGTGCAATGGTGCCGATGATGACTAAATAGTCCGTGCCGTGTAGTTGGAAAAGCAGGCGCGTGAGGACACAGCCCGCGACACCTCCAGCGAGCCAGAGGACCGATGGAAGGAGGATGATGCGGTACGACTTGTCTCCGACGACCCAACAGCGATATATCTATGCATGCAATCAGCAAAACGGGCGATTTTGGAGTGGAATCTCTCAAACCATGAACAAGTCCGCGATCAGGGTGACCGTCAGATTGATACTGGACTTGCCAGCGTTGATAGATGTCGAGAAATCTGACAAGTATGCAATGGGATTTGGCTGGGTCCCGATAAACGCAAGCTGGACACGAATGATGTCAAGAATCCAGTGCTACAAGCCAAGACCGATCAACATCAGAGCGCGTCGAAGACTCCTGGAACCTACAGCCAGGGCGAAGGTCCAGATGACGGACACGGTCGGCAATACCATAGCATAGCCCCTCATATTTTTGGACGCATTCTTGGCAAAGGAAGATTGGATAATCGTCCCGAACATGGTTGTAAGAACTCCGAACAGGAGAGTCTGCACAACAATAGAAATGAGCTGGTCGCATCGTTTGTCAGCAGCCTGCGGTCTTCCGGAAACAACCCACAGCGACTCGGTCTAGTGGCAAGTTACCCATTATCGAGATGGAGAAGAGGAAGTAATTCCGCTCTTAGAGAGCGGAGGACTATTTGAGGGCTCAACGCCTTCACTCAACGTGTGACTGGCGTGGAATCGCTACAAATTTCCTGAATTCGGCCTGCCGCGCGACGGACCAACGAGAAGAGGGCTGGCTGGCCAATTCTCATCGTGATCTCTTGGAAGGACGCCAATCGGGCTTTCAAACGCCCACAAATCAATTGAAAGGCTGGATCGAGTGGCGCCAGGTGTGATCACTGTGCAGCCAAGGCACACATCGAGAACATCGCGACATACCAGGGTGCGTTCGTTGACAAGCCTCAGGGACCACCCCGAAATCGTCGGTCGCGGAGCCGTGCAATAGATAAAAATTAGTCTATGACGTGTGGCCTAACAGCAGGGACGCAGGGTCCGGCTGGTGGACGTTTGGACGCCGATCAGCGTTGGCAACAAGCTACAGTCACCAGGACACATCTCCATGCCTATGGGAACGTTCAATCCTGAAGAGAGATGTCAGGATGTTGCACTACTCACTCATCGATCCCGTAGGATTCGGAATTCAACGAAGACTAGGCATCTCTGCTCAGAAAAGCGCTTTCGATGGGATCAGAGAGTACCAATCATGAGCGGCCAGCCGAGACAAATTTAGTCACGTGGTTTCCTTCACCCGATTCTCTCCCAAACCCCAGTCCGTATTTGGCACCTTACCATTTACCAATTGAAGGGTAAGAAAGCGTAGCTGAATACCCGTTGGCCACCTATTCTCATGTCCTGTGTCAACTGAACTTCTATCTCAATCCCATGTCCACGACCCTCGCACGTTCGGCTTCAGCTCGCTACGTTTCTCGACGGGCCAGGTCGCCAGCCCTACTCCTGTCGCACGCACAATCCCACCTCCGCTGCCCGGCCTCTCGACGCCCCGATGGCGGCGGACAGAGAAGCTCGCTTCATACGACATCCCCCCGCTCTTCGCGCTACCGGGGATACTCGATGCACGGCACGCTGCGCGAGTGGGCGCTCCGCATGATCGGGAAGGAATTCAGCGCGAACAAGCGCCGGGGGAGTGTCACGCCGCATGCGGACACGGAGTATCTCATGCGCGAGGCGGACGCGATGGTCGAGGGGGTGCTGCATCGTAAAGAACGCAAACATTGGATGCCGCGGGGCAAGAAGGGTGCATACGTGCAGGTGGGGGACCGGCTGGCACGCGAGGCAGGGAGGGTCGAGAACGCGGACATGGACATGGAGGGCCTCAAGATCGCGAAGCTGAGGGAGGCTTTGGCTCTCTACAGGCGTGCCGCGCAGAGGGGGGATGGGAGTATGCCGGTGCTGGCATCGCACATGTGGGGAACGAGCCTCGAGCTCACGCGGAGGCTGCAGAAGACTGCAGATAAGCTGGAAAGGGCGGAGACGAAAGCAGCTCAAGCGAAACCTTACGAAGTCGAGGAGACGGATTGGGGATTAAAGAAAGCGAGCACAACGTCAACGGGAGAGGATGCATCCCACACCCTGCAAGTGCCCGTGTCTGTTCAGACAAGACCACCACGTACTGCAAAAAAGCACGGTGGTATACAGTATAAAACGAAATCACTCGCGCCGCTCCCCGCCCTCGCACCCTCTGCTGTCGCTCGCTCCCGAATGCCTCTGCTCTCTGCCTTCCCCGGGATCGGCGGCCTCCCCGACGGGACCGTGCTTTCCCCTGCGCATGGGGTCTTCACTGCCCGCGGGCTTCTGGGTACGCCGTCTCACGCGGGATCGTCGTATTCAAACGACACTCTGCATCTACCGTCTCCGGCCCAGCGTGCGCCTTATGCACCAGACGAGGTGGCCCAGCCGCAGCTCCGGCCACCGCCGTTTGCGAACCAGGGCAAAGCCCTGCGGTGGTTCAAGATGCGCAAGAAGCGGACGAGGATGATGTATCGATACTATCCCGCTCCGAGGATCCCACCGCCGTTTCCGGTTTCGTGATCTCGGATCCTTCCGCTTGGGTGCTCTCACACGCTAACTGAAACGGGTGCTTGACCCACACCCTTCGCCTCAGTCAAACCCTTCGCCTGATTTGATGAAACACAGGCGTCGCTGCCGAGATGAACAAGGCCACACGGCGGGGCCCGCTCAACACGGCGGCACATGGGCGATGGAGGGTGGAGGCGCTTTGATGGATTCTCGGACTGAACCAGCCGTTCATCTGTGCAATTCGGGATGAAAGCCCCAAGCTCGTTTATTGCCTCCTTGTGTCGACATACATATGCATTCTGGTGTCACGTCTGGAGATTTGGAGACACGATTCAGCATCACGGTGCCCCGATCGTCGGCTGCGAAGCGTCCCAGGGTCCAAACGTTGCCCGATCCGATGCTGCGAAGATGACATCCCAGCCCGAGGCGGTCATAGCAGACGATTGACTCCTCGTGTGCGTGCCAAGAGGCCAACGAGGCGGCGACCTACTTCCTGATGGGGTGTATATCGATGAACGGCTGCAAATGTGCGGGCACAGCCGGGCAACTCGGCGACGTCCACCACCCGTCGCAAATAGGCAACAGGGAAAGATTGAAATAGTGTCTCAGACGTAACTTGTGTATCGCATAATAGTCTGGGACTTGGTGCAATGGCAAGGGCGGCCGGGAGGGCGCAATCACTGATCCGGACCTTCAACTGAATGATTGGGCGATCAGGCGGTTCGAACTTTAACGCCTCCAGTACTTACTTATGCACCTCGCATCCGCGTACATGAATCTGATTATCTCGCGCATAAAAATTCCGCAAGGCATCGGACCGGCAGCACGCACACCGAGATGCCATGAGGACTGTGAAGATATCCAACATTCGTTTGCTTAAAGCCTGGGCCGGCGGAGCCAGGTATGCGCTTTCAACAAATCATATACTTAGCATGATTCACGCCCACTTCACACTCGCTTCTGCGGCAGCAGCGATTGCTTTCCTTGCACTGCACATCTGCCGAAAGGCCGCAAGAAGAAGGACAGGGGATATCGCAGGACTGCGTGGCCCGCCCCGGGAGTCCTGGCTTTTTGGTGCGTCTTGGGATGGATGACATTTGTGCACAACGATCCAGGCTGAGCTCCCATGGAAGGTAATCTTGCGCAGCTGCTGTTCTCCCGCAACTACGGCGACTACGAGTTCCAGTGGCAGGAGAGCTACGGCGATGTATACGTGATACGCGGTGTGCTCGGGGTGAGTCAACGACCGACCGGCCTTGAACGCGTCTCATTCACGCTAATACTTGCCGCAGCAAACTCGGTTGATGGTCTCGGACCCTGTTGCCCTGAACCATCTTCTCCAGAACGACGACGTCCATCTTGCACCGATGATGCTTGCGTTCAATCGATCCCTTTTCGGACGGGAGAACGCGATGGCGCTGCGCGGTTGGTGGTGCTTCAACGCGTCTGAAAGGCGTTGAATTTCATCCTTTCGATTAGATGCAGCCCACAGGAAACTCCGCGCTGCCCTGAATCTCGGTTTTTCGCCCTCTGTTATCAAGGGATATCGGGATCACTTCGAATCCGTTGCCCGCACAGTAAATGCGATCAAAATATTCCTTCTCCCAGTCACTCGTCTGCTGACCAGGGCTGCTTTTCTTTAGATAACGGTCCAATTCGGAAAATCTCGGAAGAGCTCGGTCATGGATGTCATACCTGCGCTTTCCATGGCCACATTGTCTGCAATCTCTCAAGGTGAGGTTGGGACATTATTACGGGATAATCGACTGATAAGCAATATCCTCGTAGTCACACTAGGTCGGTCTACCGAAGCGCTGGGTAAAGAATTGATCCAAGCAAATCTATCGATCCTGTATTGTTTCTCCTCGTGCCAATAAATCCGCAGTCCGTTCTAATCAAACCCCATTCAGTGCATGTGCTTCACGATTTGGATCGGCCCAGCTCCTAGCCGAGGGCGTGGCACCGTATCTCCCCGCCTCATTCCTGGACTGGATATTCCGACTCCCGCTCCCCATGTTCGCCGACATTCGCCGCGCGTACACTCTCGCGCGGCAGGTCGGAGAGCTGGTCATTCTGGAGTCTCTGCACACAGCGGCCGGAGACGAGACACGGGAGGAGCATCTTTACGGCAGGATTCGTGCGTGCCGTTCCGAATCGGCTGTAGTATATATCGATCGATCTCCAATCGCCCGTTGCAGTGGCCCAGAATCCGAGGAAAAGCCTATCACACAGCGAGCTCGCTACGCAGACGAATCTAATCCTCGTGGCCGGCCAGGATACCACGGCAGGTATTTTACCAGCGTGATTGGGAGCGGATTGAATCAGCGGGCACTAGACAAACACGCTCGCGTTTGCACTGGTCGAACTAGCTCGACAACCTGCACTGCAGGATGCCGTCCGTGCCGAGATCACCGCGGCTCATGCGCGGGCGCCAATCCAATATGACTGCTTGCCGTTGGTGAATGCATGCATCAAGGTCAGCATGTCGCAATGGCCCGTATAAATTGACTCGCTGAAAGCACCGATACCCAGGAAGCGCTGCGTCTCTTTCCTGCCGAACCCGTCGCCGATAAGATCGCGCACGTGGATCTGACTCTGCCGCTCAGCCGGCCAGTGACTCTCTCAGACGGGAGCGTCACCGATACGATCTTTGTGCCAAAAGGCCAGCTTGTGGCGTTGTCGTTTGCGGGCTACCAGCGGTGTGTCCGTCTGCGTTTCTTGATCGTGAGCTCATTTTGTCGCCCAGGGGCCATGAACGGTGGGGTCCAGAGCCCGAAAAATTCAACCCCTATCGGTGGATAGAGGGCAAGGTTGCCGTGAATCAAACTATGGCGACGAGCCCGTATGCGCATTTGTGAATTACGGGTGACAGCTTGGTCAAATTGATTATGAACTGAATCTTTTTGACAGGCTTTCCTTCTCCAACGGGCCACATGTGTGTCTTGGGTAAGTCCCAATGCATCCGGGAGCCCTCGGCATTCCACTAATATGGACGTTTTTAACTCCAGCTGGCGTTTTGCGTGGGTTTTCCTGGGGCATTCTTTTCAAGGTTGTCCGTTCAATTTCCCTCTCCAGGATTTTTGAGATGCAGGTCATCCTCACTGAGTTGATCTCAAAGTTCGTCTTTGATCTGCCCGGTGACCCAGCCTTGGAAACACACGCAAGATTTGCGAATGCTTTGATGCCTTGCGATGGAGATGGAGATAGATGTGCTTGGCTTTCTGTAAAACATGTGCAGGGAGACACCTAGAGTGCAATGCAGACACGGATCAGTAGAGACTCCCTCTAGTGTATTAGTTCATTACTTACCTACAAAGCATAGTATGGTTCACAGGGTGTATTGCATTGCTTATGTAAAGTCTGAACTTGCCTTGTTATTATGGTTGAGCTTGGGCCTAGGATTTTTCCAACCTCCAAATCCAAATCAAAACCGAGCAAAACTTGAAGCTCCCTCTTTGCAAACCTGTTATGAGGTCACCTAAGACACTCCTCATCCAGTGTAGTGGCATACTCTCCACGCATACACTCAAAGTCTTCGGTCCCGATTTCGAAACATTCACTATCATCTCTTCGGATTCACAAGAGCACTGTTGCATTGATCTTTTGAACATTTCGCATCAGATGATGGGGAAAGTTGGACGGAAACAGTAAGATTTAAAAATGTATACATATACAGAAATAGACCCCGGGAAGTACTCGAGCTACTTCCTACTCCGTGTGGGGACCGCTTGAGAGATCCTTCAGCATGTAAGCCCTGAGGGTGAGCTCTTGGAATCGATTGAACGGTGGCGGCTAGCATGCCAAAGACGCCAAGTACTCGAGTGCGAATCAAGTCAAGCATATATGACGAGCTGATTACACCGTGGGGAGACGTGCTCATGAATGACGCTGCCTGCGGGTGCCGCGGGATGTCATGTGCATTCCGCGACAAGAAAGAAGAGTGAGGAGGCGGCGGCCGTAGGGGCTGTCAATTCGAGGGAATGACTGAACGCTACTGAATGACTTGTTCTCACAGTTCCCGGTGCTCCATCAGGACGTGTGGAGTGCCGAGAGACAACGGACTCGCCGCATTTCGTGCCGGCTCGCGCTGTGACTGGGGCCCCCGCTGCGTGGTGGCGGTCATCACGCAAGCGGGGCTTGCTCTCGTCGTCATCCGGCCGGGAAGCTTTGATCCGGATCGCCGCCAGTCGCGTGGTTTGACACACCCCTGGTCGCCGATCATTGCTGCTGTCAGTGCTGTGCAGTGTGTTGATCCACTAGCACATACAGCTTGGCTCCTGATTCTCCCGTGGGCGGGCAACGGTTATTTATGGCGACACGTTGTGGCACCTTCGACTCTCCGGATCTGCCACGGGTACCTTGGGAGCGCCGCGGAAATCGTGAGAGTGAGAAGAAGAGGAGGCCCGGCGCGGGTACAAAGACCGGGGCAGCCAGCGTATGCAGAGTTTCTCGAGCCTACTATGAGTCTCTACAACCTGACGCTCGTCGCAGCAGGGCTTGTTGCCCTGGGAGTGTATCTCACCAGCTCGGTCGCAAGGAGGCAAATGCGGGATGTCGATGGACTGCCTCGTCCACCGCGAGAGTCTTGGCTGTTCGGTCAGTCCAAGTATGGCACTCCTACACAACGAGTCTCTGAAATCCACTGTTCCTCATTCAAGGAAATCTTCCGCAGCTTTTCATTCCGCAAAACTACGGTGACCATGAATTCGGGTGGCAGGCGGAATACGGCGACGTGTATGTGATACACGGTGTTCTAGGCGTACGTTGTCGGTCGAACGGGGATGCGTTTTCTGACGGCCCCCCAGCAATCTCGTATGATGGTCTCGGACCCCGCTGCCCTGAACCATCTGCTTCGAAACGACGACGTCCATCTCGCCCCGATGATGCTCGCGCTCGGGCGTTCCTTGTTCGGCCGAGACAATGCGATGGCGCTCCGAGGTCAGCCACTTCAGGGTTGTCGCCGACTTGGATCTCACTGAGCTATGTCCCAGATGCATCGCATAGGAAGCTGCGCGCGGCTCTCAATCTCGGCTTTGCCCCCGCTGTCGTGAAAGGATACCTGGAAACCTTCGAGTCCGTCGCTCGTGGCGTACGCATAAACCACGTCCCCGTCTTGCTCTGCAGCTAACCCCCGGCCCGTAAAACCCAGATCACCACCGCACTCGAATTGGGCGACGGCCAGGAGGGGTCCGTCGTAGACGTCTCGGAGCCGCTCTCCACGGCAATGCTGTCCGCGATTTCTCAAGCTCCGCGCGCATGAGTGGATAAGATCGAGCGCTCACGCTACGTGCTTCAGTCATTCTGGGTCTTTCCGTCGAAGCGCTGGGCGCAGAGCTGATACAGGCGAACATTTCAATCCTGTTGAGTGCCTTTCTAGCCCACGCACACTGATTGCTTCAATTCGCTCCCCCCCAGCGCAGAGGCGGATCGCTTCGGACGGGCGCAATTCGTCGCCGAGGCAATGGCGCCCTACCTGCCGGCTCCATTCCTCGATTGGATGTTTGGTCTTCCGCTGCCGATGTTCGCTGCAATCCGGCGCGCGTATGAGCTTGCCAGAAAGATCGGAGACCAAGCTATCCAAGACCTTGCACAATCAGAGGACTCGAATGAGCGGAGCTTTGAGCACTTGTATGCGAAGATCTGTGAGCTCGTAGCTCGTGGTATCTGAAAGGGATGTCTCGCTGACAGAACCTCGCACAGTGGCGCAGAACTCGAAGAAGGCACTCTCACCTGATGAGCTCGCTATGCAGACGAACCTGGTCCTCATCGCAGGTCAAGACACGACGGTTCGTGTCCAGCTCGAAATGTAACCCTGTCGCATCATCAGCTCAACGCAAATCAGGCAAACACGCTCGCATTCGCGCTCGCAGAACTAGCGCGACAACCGGCGCTGCAGGACGCCCTGCGTGGCGAGATCCGCAAGGCGCGGTTGGAGCCTGCCACCGATTACGACTCCCTGCCACTGCTCAACGCGGTCATCAAGGTCAGTCGCGCGCTGTTCGAGGTCAATCTGCTTAGGGGGAGCGTCTTCGCAGGAGGCCCTCCGGCTGCTCCCGGCCGAGCCCATCGGCGACAAGATCGCACACGTCGACCTGACCTTGCCGCTGAGCCGCCCGGTGACGCTTTGCGACGGGCGAGTCGTGGACCAGCTGTTTGTGCCTAAGGGCCAGCTCGTGGGATTGGCGTTCGCCGGGTACCAACGGTACGTCACTTCTCATTGCTGTGCGTCGGCGCTGATTTCTGCCCACCCCAGCGGTGGGACGCGCTGGGGCCCGGAACCTGAGGCGTTCAATCCCTACCGGTGGATCGAGGGAAAGGTCGGAGTCAGCGAGCCGATGGCAACAAGCCCGTATGCGCATCTGTAAGGTCCTCCCTGAACACGGTCAGGCACACAGCTCATTCTCGTCCGACAGACTCGCGTTTTCGAACGGTCCGCACGTGTGTCTTGGGTAGGCGGAAACTTTTCTTCCCCGCTGCCCTCGATCTGGCACTGATCGTGTTGGGTCTACTTACAGGTGGCGATTTGCGTGAGCGCTATTGCCTTCGTCTCACCACGGTACTGAATCCAGCTCTTCACTGCTGCAGCATCCTCGAGATGCAGGTCATCCTCGCCGAGCTGGTCCCGAAGTTCGTGTTCAAGATCCCGGACGACCCGGTTTTGGCGATGCGCTTCAGGTTCGCCAACACGCTGATGCCGTGCAATGACAAAGGGGAGAAGCGTGCCTGGCTTGCTGTGGAGCGGGTACAGGACCTGTGAAATCGTCAACAAGACTGTACAGCTATCATATACACGAGTATGTATTCTGCATGTTAGCTGGGAACTGATCATATGACATGCCTACGATGTGTGTCTTTGGATGTCTGATCCGAAAATCGCCGTTTCGGTCACGTCCCTTTACGTTTTTGTTAGCAAGTCGTCAGGATGATCCCCATCATCGTCCGAATTCGGATCCATGCGAACCCATGGAGCCATCTTTCAGACCGATTCCGTCTGCATCAGTTTGCCTCCAAAAATCCACTCTCAGAGTACATGCCATCAGCAGTTTATGCGGAAACGCCTGTGAACAGCGCGAAATCGTATTTGATAGGCTTCAAGCTGAAACTCAAGCCTGTTAGGATCAAGGTATGCAATACTTGGCTTCGCCAGCGATAGCCCTGTCGCTTTTTCGGGTGAAGCGGGCCATCCAACCCTGGATGATCATGATTCATGAACGGCTCGCATTTGGTCCTTCGAGAATCTGACGCCTCGCACTGACGAGAAGATAGATGCGCATTGGGCCGACCTTTCGCCAGGTCCCATAAGGTTCCAGGTGTGCTCCAACCCTTCCCCACATTCCTCTGGAGCCCCCAAAGATGCCGCTACACGAAGATCCCGACCTGAATAGCCTCTCTGCTGGATCGTCAAATGGACTTGGCAGCGGCAAAGATGGAACAAAGAGGAATCTAAGGGTGAGCCGTGCACCTAGCATCATCTCGCGCGCTGAGTCCTCACGACTGCAGCCTCGACATATACAACTGATTTCCATGGGCGGGGCGATCGGCACGGTCATGTTTGTGCAGATCGGTTCTGCGCTGGCGATCGGTGGACCAGGGAGCCTATTCGTGGCGTTTCTACTGTGGTCGACAGTCGTACTGGCGGTCAACAACTGCCTGGGTGCGCCGTTGCTTCATCATCCGAACACCCTCTCCGATCATGCTGACTGGCCTTCCAGCGGAGATGGTTTGTTGGATCCCGATCTCTTCACCCTTCGTATGCGTGACTCCGCCCAGGCTACTTTCTCTTCTGAAACTATGCCACCAGGTTAGATTCGCAGACCGCTTCGTCGATGAAGCTCTCGGCGTCGTGAGCGGGCTGAATCTCTTCATCTACATCGCCATCGGAATTCCATTCGAGATGGCGGCGACGAATCTGATGCTCCAATTCTGGACGGACAAGATTCCAGTGCTCGCTGTTGTGGTGGTTATGATTATAGCCTACACGTACGATGATTCTTCTCCACAGCGGACCGCGCGGAAACTGACTTGCATCATCAGGGCCTTCAACGTGTTTGCCGTGCGGCTGTATGGTGGTAGGATTCTTCCCACATAGCAGAAGGCTTGGCGGCTCAGGGATGCCTTCAGAGGTGGAGTTCTGGCTGGCGATTGGAAAGATTGTCTTGGCTGTGGGACTTTTCTTGTTCACACTGGTGGTGGCCCTGGGTGGCAATCCTGAACACGATCGATTTGGGTTCAGAAATTGGGATAGTGAGTTTAAGCAAACCTGTCGATCTCATTCTGGTCTCACTTTCGAACAGGCTCCAAAGTCCCGGTACGACCGATCTTGCCCGCGATTCTCACCCGATGACTTACCAGATCCAGGGTGCGCCATTTGCTGCGTATGCGTTTCCGGGTGCGAGTGGTCGTTTCACCGGTTTCCTGAGCTGTCTTGTGCAAGCGGCATTTACTATGTCCGGTACGTACGAAGGGAGTGTTCTGCCCCCTGAGGAAGCTGAACTGCAGAGCCAGGTCCCGAGTACATCGCAATGACCGCCGGAGAAGCTGCGCAACCCCGTCGCACGATGCATCGAAGTTTCTCCTCCATCACATTCCGCCTGGTCATGTTCAATGTTCTCGGTGCCCTGTCTGTCGGGGTGCTTGTTCCACACTCCGACCCTGCCCTGCTTGGAGCCTCCGAGCATGTCAAACGGGGTTCGGGAACGTCGCCATACGTCATCGCGATGACGCGCCTGCGAATCCCCTTTCTACCCCATGTAGTCAATGCGCTGGTGATGTTGTCCATATTTTCTGCAGGGAACAGCTACGTGTATACTGCCAGCAGAACGCTGTATGGGATGGCGTTGGAAGGACAGATGCCCCGCGTCTTTGCCCGCTGCAGCAAGAGAGGTGTCCCGATATATGCAGTTGGGGCCTCGATGTTATTCTCCTCGATGGCATTTCTCCAGCTGAATAAAGCAAGCGCTGTCATCCTGCAATGGTGCGGAGCCTCGATTCTTCGTCTCATTCAATTACTGAGAATCTGGTTCGTTCAACCAGGATCACTCTTGTTGCCACTGTTGGCCTGATGGTTGACAATGCAATAATCTCGCTCACATACCTGCGATTCAGAGCCGTGCGTTTTTATAGAACATCATTACGTGGCTCGAATTATATCACAGGCCCTCGCCGATCAAAACATCCCTCGTTCGTCTCTGCCGTGGTTCGGCCGACTGCAACCATTCTGCGGGTTCGGATCGGCGTCTTTCTATCAGCGAGCACAACTCACGCTTTTCAATTAGTTATTACGCCCTGATTGCATGCACAACAATGATATTTCTCTCGGGATACGCCGTCTTCCTTCCCGGTCACTGGAGTCTCACCACCTTTATTTTCTCTTATGTTTTGATTTTGATACTGCCTCTGGTATTTGTAACGTGGAAAGTGGCGAAACGAACCAAGGCTCGTGTTCTATCATGTCTACTGGATGATTTATCTAATCTGTTTGCAATCCAGCTCCGCAAGGTGTGCGAGATCGATTTGTTCGAACGGGAGAGGGCAAGTGTGGATGATCGGGATTGTATGTAATTATTCAACAAATACGGAATCTACCATTCAACGAATACGTATTTAATTTCGCATGCCTATGCTGCCCAGGGGGACATCTACGGTCGATTTTCGGATGCTGTGTCCCAACTAGAAAGCGTCGGCTCCGCCGACATTCTGCCTTGCTATTTGATATCAAAATTAATTATAATTTTTTCTTTGATACGGGCAACTACGATGGGTCGAACTCGAAACCGACAGGAAGAGCACGGAGAGGAACGGAACAGCGGGGGAAGCCGGGTCCGACGAAATCGAGCCAATTATGAGGGTGGAGAAGCCTTAACAAGCAAGGCAATCAGTCGTTGTACATAGCTTATTACAAAGCCCGGCTGCTTCAAGCAGGGGGCAGCATATTCTGGAGGAAGTATTTTTCACATGAGCCATCCAATTTCTGTTTCCGATTTATAGGTTTCTGCTGAGTTTGATGACAATTCCTGCAGTACATCTCCCACCGCCGCCCGAAGCAAAATGCTTGCGTGTGGAAACTCACCCGGTTAAACCCAGGTGAGAACACTAAAGGAGAAAAGAGGTTGTCAAGACGAAAATCAATCTGGATCAAGCTGTATTGGCGAGCGATACGTATCGTAGAGGAGAAGGTAGAGAGAGAGAATATATGCAGTCGTGATCAGTGATGTACGTAAGCAAGCAGGCTGCTTGCACCCCTCCCCTCCCCAAGAAAGAGACCCATGTGTGAGATAAATAGGTAGGGGGAAGTACATACAGCCTTGCCACGCGGTGAAATGCTGATGGCGTGCTCACAAGTGAATCTACTATGAAAGTAAACCCAAATATAAAACACGTTCACACTCCTCGTAATCAGCTTCTCAGTGTGTGAAAGATGCGAGGGCTTTGGGGTGGACAGAGCACCAGTATCACAACTCTCAATAGACGCAGATCCAATAGTCGCGGAGACGAAGTCGACGACAAGAATTTATATATAGCAAACAATGGTGTCTCGACCAATATCTTCTATACGAACACAACTAACACTAATCCAATCCACAACCAACAATATAACAAGTCAGAACTTAATACGAAGTATTAAGATCCCTTGTAGCGACAGCGTCTAGATGGTGACGCAAAGCCCAAATATCAAGTCGACGCACTGCCAACCAATACAACCAATATACTGAGTCGACGCACTGCCAACTAGTAAACCAAAATGTCAAGTCGACGCACTGCCAACTAGTAGACCAAGATGCCGCGTCGACGCACTGCCAACTAACAGCCAATATCCAATGTCCAAAACCCGAGCACAACTTGTCGACGCACTGCCAAGCAAGAAGTGTGGAACCAAAGTTCTCAAGTCGACGCACTGCCAACTGACCAAAACAACCCGAGCACAACTAGTCGACGCACTGCCAAGCTAGAGGTGTGGAACGATCTCAACAAAGCCCGAAGGCAATGACACTAAATGCCGCGACTAAACCAGATGCGGCGAATCCGACTTTCTGATGTCTCAACTCAAAACTCAAATCACAGTAGCTACAAGTGCTCGGGGAGCAACTCGTCGCGACCGGGCAGGGGTAGCAGAACTTCTTAGGGTGGAATCACGCGGCACGCAAATTGTACAAAACAATCTGATATGAGAGTGATTCACAGTCCGGGGGAAAGCTTCCTAATACAAAGAAACGACGTGCTACTTATACTGTCTACGACGATGCTTAGTAAAGTCCTGTACAACTGCATAGTAGCTACGCTATCTAAGATCGGTTGCCTTTTAGGGTAATTGAAAAGTTGAACGATCGGACAGGACCTGAGTGATCAGGACCCCGCCCCATAGTCCATATGATACTTTTGATGTGGGTCAACCCACCGCGTCATACTTTTGGAATACGACGTGCTGGATTGGCCAACGGGTATGTCTTGGCAAGTGAGACCAACGTGGGCGCCCCAAGAAGCCGTATGGCCCTAGGCACGCCAGTCGTCCCCCACATGGTCCGGTTCACGGATCTAGCCGTATCGATTTTAGTGTGTTTGGGTATGGGCGCGACTCGCCGTGACACTTGGAAGTGTCACCGCGACGCGTCCACAATGTCCCGTGATCGAATGGATCCTGACATGTGACAAGTCGTCGTCGTGGCACGATCTGAGGAAACAACCAACCCAAAACCGGGAGTTGCCGCGACAAGATGGTTTAAGTCTCGTAACGCCAAGTCCTGTCCAGTAGTAGTTCTATTATTGAGAACGTCGCGCATTGCTCAGCCCTTCAGCCCAAGTTCCCATCTGCAGAGAATGACCCTTTTTGAGAAGTCGACGCAACGACAGATCCCTTTTTGGGGAATGGTTGCAGTCCAAGCGTTCATCACTAATGGCCCTGAGCCTGGTATAGACTCATAAGACCAGTTCCACAGTAGTGGTCTGACTGCCTTGCCATCGTCGACACTATCCACAGTCGTCGACTGGGCAGTAGACCCTTAAGTCCTACTGAGCGCAACACTGTCACCCGCGACACGATACACCGAATGGTTCGAGAGTAAACTCTGTAAAAGCGCAAAAATACGCCCTTACAGAGCTGGTGCAGAGCGCGTCTGGTAGCCAGCCTATCAGCGGGTGCGTCAAAATAAAACCCATTGGGAAAAAAGCTACCGGGGCAGGCAAAAGGAGTAAACGTCTAAACCGGTCCATCAGTTCGCTGCCACCTCTTTCGCTGCCAGCCAGTCATTGAGGGGGTCGCTGCCGACCAATTCGCGTCCTGGGAGCCAGCGGTCGTCTTCCGGACCGTGGTGCCGATAATGAACCAAGTATTGCATTCCGTGTCCCCGGCGACGTTCGTCTATGATGCACTCGACCGTTGATGGAGGCGACGTGCTGGATGTCTTCAAAGACTGTCCCGGGAAGAGTTTGTCATCGTTCTCCCTGTAAGGCTCTATTTCAGATGCATGGAATACCGGGTAGACATGCAGCTGGTTCGGCATGTTCAGCGTGTAAGTGGAGCACTCATCGTGTTTGGCGACCACCACGTAGGGACCATCGAATTGCGGCATGTACTTTGCAACGCAATTGTGCCCCTTGCTAATGTATGCCGCACGCCGATTCTTCGTGGAGAGTTTGACGCGATTGCCAACTTCGATCTTGTGGTCCGGTCCACGGGATTTGTTTGCCTGGGCCGCCTGTGACAACTTGGCAGCAATGAGATTGTCCTTTGCCTCTTGTACGTCACCTTCCAGTCGGTCAACGATGACACGCGCTAAGGCCTCCTCATCCGTGATGTCGGCCACCGTTTCCGCAGAGATCAGCGGCGGCAACAAGCGCGGTGATCTGCCCATGCGCAGCTGGAAACCCGAGAAACCTGTCGAGGCATTAACCGTGTTTATCATATCGAAACGCACGCGTGGCAGGGCACGGAGCCACCCCTTCTGATTTTGTGCGACATGGTAGCGTATGCACTGGTTTACAGTTTTGTTCGTCCGCTCACTTGCGCCGTCCGACTGCGGGTGAAAGGCCGTGGACATCTTTAGTTTCACGCCTGTGAGTTTGGTAAACGCCTTCCAGAAGTCAGATAAGAAAAGTTTGTCCCGGTCTGAGACCAATTCAACGGGCATTCCGTTCTCACAGTACCAGCTGTCGAAAAACAGGTCTGCGAGCTCATGCGTGGTGATGGTTGTTGTAGTCGGTACCAACCGTATATCCGAGCCCAGCCGGTCGGTGATTGTTAAGAGGCAATTGTAGCCGTTGTCAACCAGGAGTGGTCCCACGAAATCCAGGGCCACCGAGTTGCCCCGGCCGTCTGGGATAGGGAGCGGGTGGAGTGGGCCAGCCTTGCGTGTCGTCCGCGATTTGTTCCGCTGGCATTTGGGGCAAGCGGGGATGTACGCTTCCTCCAGGTCTCGACGCATGTTTGGCCAATAGTAAGCGTCCTGCAGCGCCGCGTAGGACTTGTCGAATCCAAAATGCCCGAGGTTATCGTGTGCCAGTCGATAGAAAGTCTCACGTAAATCGTCCACTCTCGGTATTATCAGCCTCCCGGAGATGTACCACAGCCGCTCTGGCTGTCTGAATTCCAGGCTTGGCATGCCTTCCGCCACCGATGCTAGTTTCGCGCACCATGGGTCCTTGAGGTATCCTGCGCGTATTCTGTCCAGAATCTTTGCATCCGCAGCAATACGGAGGGTTGAGGCCAGCGGTCGTGGGCCACCAATCTTTTCACGTTTGGAGTGGATAGACCCTGAGTGCGTGCGCGTGCGTGCCAGGCACTGTACTGCCGTGAACGTCAAACCCACGGGTCCAGGGAGAGTCGCGGCTATGGTGGGTGCCACCTCATCCTCGAACTCGGTTCGTGAGAGTGCGTCCGCCACACTGTTGTCCTCCCCCTTGACGTACGAGATCTTGCAGTCGTACTGGCTCATAAACTCCATCCAACGCGCTTGCCGCCTGGACAGGTCCCTTTGATTATCGAAATTCTCCAACGTGCAATGGTCCGTGTAAATTGTGAATGGGGAGCCAATGAGGTCTACCCGCCAACGGTGTAGAGCCCGGATGATGGCCAGGAGTTCCTTCTCGTGTACAGGGTAGTTGGGCTCGGCGCCCTTGAACGACATTGAATCAAAAGCCACTGGCCTTGCTGTTTCCCAAGTTGGTCCCCATGACAGGATTCCACCCGAGCGATAGTCACTAGCGTCCGTAGGCACGAAAATCTTGTTATCCCCTGGGTTCTCATGGTCAATAACTGTTAGACATTCCGCGCTGACCACAATAGCCTTGATTGAATCGAAGGCGTTCTGGGCAGCCGTTGTCCATTGTGGGAAAACCTTATCACACGACTTTTCTGTGAACTTTTCCAATATACCCATGTGATCCGCGAGCCGGGGTAGGAACACCACGATGTACCATACCAAACCCAGAAAGGCCCGGACATGCGTGGATGACTTGGGCCGTGGCCAATTCACAATCCGATCAATCTTACGTGGATCCGGCTCGATCCCCTTGGTTGACACGCGATGTCCCAGGAAGTCCACCTGGTAACAGAATAGTTTGGTTTTCTTCGGGTTACAGTACAGACCCGCGGAGCGCAGCGCCATAAATATCGTCTCAATGTGTTTTTCATGTTCGTCTGCCGAGTCCGACCAGATTAC